CGCGGCGCGACGGCCGGGCCGGACCTCCGCGCGTTCCCCGGCGCCAAGGCGCTCCCGCCTGCAGCCCCAGAAACAACACGGAGAACTTCTATGTCTTTATTTAGCTGTATGCACACGCACCTAAAAACACGCCAAGCGCCCCGCCTGGCTCCGCCTGTGTGGCACGTGCCCATGCGCTCCGTGCCGGCACTGCCGTTCCGGCGGACGCGGCCGCCGGCAGGCGACGGCGCCCCGAAACAGAGCCGCTCCCCCCAAAAAAACCACTTTTCTTTAAAACTCAACACTTTTCTTTAAAACTCGCCGCTAGGCGTCCAGCCAAGCGGTTCACGCAGACCCGGGAGCGCGACACGACTCCGCGCCCGGCGGCGACGCGCGGAGCACCCGGAGCCCCTTCCGAGGGGCGACCGGGGCCGCCCGCCCCGGCGGCAACGGCCGCCCCAAGCCCCGCCCCCTGGCACGGGCACGCGCGGGCGCACGAGGTTTATCTCCGACGCGCGGCCCTGGCACCGCCCATCGCKCCTCCCTATTGGCCGCCTCCCACCTCAAGCCACGCCTCCGTATTCCCTCGGGGGGGGGGGCGGAGGAGCGAGAGCGTGGAGCGGGGAGAGGAGAGCGGTTGGCGTCACGTGATCTCGCCCCGCTCTCGCCTCCTGGCCTATCGGGGGGGGAGGTGACGTCACGTGGGGTGGCGCGGCTCGGGTGCGCCGGAAGTGTCGTGCTGCGTCGTGCCATGGCTTGAGGCTGTGCTTGCGGTGAGGCCGGGCCGGGCCGGGCCGGGCCGGGCCGGGCCGGGCAGGGCAGGGCAGGACATGGCGGCGGCGGGGCCCGGCACCGGGGAACCGGCACCGGGGAACCGGGACCGGCAGGGGCGCTCTAGGGCGCGGGCTGCGGCCCGCACAGGCGAGCGCGGCCCGTGGCCGCCGGGGCTCCGCCTCGCAGCCGGGCCGAGGCGTGCGGGCGGACCGGGCGGCGCTTCTCCTTCCTCAGAGCTCTAAACGCCTCTCGCTTTGCAGAGCGCGAAGCGGCTGCGATTGATCCGGGGCTCCTCCCCATCCTGCCTTTGAATTAATGGCGCATATCACCATCAACCAGTATCTGCAACAAGTAAGCCGACTTTTTTTGTTGTTGTTGTTTCTTGTGTGTGCTATCAGAATATACAGGGATACATTCTTTTTTTTTTTTTTTCCTGAAAGTGTGTTTTTACTTTATTTAAAAAAAAAAAACCTGTCTAGAAAGCATAATGTGGCAAATATATGTACTTGCTTAGTGTGTGGTAAGTATTCCAGCTGCGTGCTGAGGATGTGTCCCTGAAATATGATCTTGTATTTGGCTTGATATGTCAAATGTGGCATCACTGATAAGGCGTCAAGCGAGGCTGTTTGCGCATAAGAATTAGCGTGGTGGGATTGTATGTGTGCAGGGATTTAAGGAAGAACCCCAGTTTACACGCAGAGAGGGTGCGYGTGGCAAGAGGATGGAGAGGCAGGAACAGAGCCATAAAGATCTTCAGCCAGGCTGAATCCTCAGGGTCAAGCTATACCTCTTACATTGCTTCTCTTTGCAATATAAAGAGCCTCGTCATTGTTATTGCAGTCTCATYGTTGTTACCATGTTCCTTTCTTGAACCAGAATCAATAAAGCCAATTGAGTGAAGGGCAGATAATCGGGTAGTTGTTTGGCGTTCAGTCTGAGAAGTGAAGCAGCTGAGATCTCTTGGGACAGTGCTCTGCTCTGAAGAGTCAGCATCTTTTCCAGTTAACAGTCTCAATGATCCTGCCTTTCCACTCTTCCTGCTGTATATGCTGTCAAAGTAATTTTAAATATTGTTAGAGTTCCTTTGCTTTACTCCTTATATTTTTATATCTTTGAAAAGAAAAACAGCTTTATGGAAAGCCTGAAATGAAACCTGAATGCGTAGATAAAATGTTATGGAAAGTAGCTAAATAGGGAAGAAAATATAAAATCAACTGCTTAAACTATTTCAGAGAATATGTTTGTTTTGAAGGAGTCAAAACATAGTCTTCTACAACTAGTTTATGTTATTAAGCATTGAATTAATTTCTTATTGTTTGCAAATTATGATTAATGGCAGGACCAAATTCCATCTGCAGCATCCCAGATGACAATACTCAATTATTTTTTTTATGTCTCCAATATATATTTCATGCTCCACCTGCCAAGAAAAAGGAAAAAACAAGCTGCTTCTAATTTGTTTCATAACTGATGTCTTCAAATGTAAAACCCATGTAGTTTATTTTGGGCTTCTCCAATTTGATTGTATTGTATAGGTATTAAAAAAAGAAAAGACACCCCTACCTTCTCTCCTGAGAGTATATTATTATTTATATATATTTGTGTGTTGAAACTACCATACAAATTCTTTCAGTTTTAAAWTTTTAAAAACTCATGTTTGGGGGTTATTGACATGGATGAATGGTCATAACAAGTTGACTTTCATAGGTACCCATTAACTTATTAACCTAGCCGTGAATAGATTTTTTTTTTATTTTATTTTTTCCCCCTGTGCAGGTGCAAGAAGCCATYGACAGCAGAGATGGACAATTTTGTGCAGAATTGGTATCATTTAAGCATCCTCATGTTGCCAATCCTAGGCTTCAAGTAAGAACTTGTTATCCTGAGACCATCCGGTTTTGGTCCTGTTTGCCTTCAGTGTTTCCCTGTACGAGTTCCTTTCCACTGGGTAAAAACCTCAGAAATCTGCTTTACGGGACAGAGCAGGATCCCCTTGCAGGTTTCTTCTCCCCTTTCTTTTCCTGGAATTCTGATTTCTGTCTTGTTTCCATCTTTTCCTGGATGGATGGTGGTAGGTTTTTTTTTTCTTTTTTTTGTCTTCTCTTCCCTTCTGCTTTGAACTGTGTTCTGGATGGGCATCACTTTGGAGGCTGCCTGTGGCCAGGTCCCAACAGTGAGTTAAGTGGCCCAGTGGGAGTGGACGTGAAGATGAAATCAAGTGGTCCTGAGGATGCAGTGCTTGTACTTTGTGGTTTTTAACTAAAACTTACTCTAATCTGGTTCTGTGGACACCAGCAGTTACATTATATTGAACATGAGTTGTAGTATAAAGTAATGTTAGGTTTTTGTAGATAGGGAAGGCATGCTGTGATGAAATACCTAAATGAAGTTCTATTTCTGGTCCAGCATGTATTCTTTTAATGTTTCATTAATTTATTCTATTCTTAGCTTCCATCTCCAGAAGAAAAGTGTCAGCAAGTTCTGGAGCCACCATATGATGAAATGTTTGCAGCCCACCTAAGGTAAGGATGGACTGGCAATGGACAAGTGAGTTGTGAGATGTGCAGCAATCATAGGGAGGCATATCCTTAAGTTTTAATTATTTTAAATGGCATACATATATTTTTTTCTTTTGCTACTCTTATAATCAGTGTTAGAATTGCAGGAAATGGACCTCTCCTTCTTCTTTTCAGTTCTTCTTTGCATTTGCTGTTCATCTCTCCATGGCCTCTGACACAGCTTTGGATTTGGTGCTTGTTCTTTCCATCTTTAATTTTTACTAGTTGCACAAGAATTCTAAATGAAATAAGAAAAATTGAAAAGAAAGAATTGSTGGGGAGGGGAAGGGGTGAAGGGAGGAAGGAATTTTGCTCCTAAAAGTACTCTTAAGACAGCTTTAAAATTCAAATAATTATACAAGGTTTTTATTGGAGGAAAAAAATGCCATGCTATGTTTGATACTCTGTTTTAATTCAGTCTCAGAGGTCTTGGAAATGTTTTCTTTCCTGTCCCAACCTCAGTGACAGTTTCAATAAGGCTTAGCTTGTTTTGGTTCATACTGTACAGACAACAGAARTAAATCACTGTTCATATACTAGATCAATTTTTTACAATTATCAGACTCAGGCTTGTGTGACTGTGTTAGGAATACTCCCAAAAATATTTCTATTTTTTATGATAAGTGGGCTCTAAAGCTCTACATCTATTAAAAGGCAAAAAGAAATGTTTGTTTCAGGTTTAGGATGCATTCGATGCACTAATGTTCTCTCCRACAGGTGCACTTATGCTGTTGGAAACCATGACTTTGTAGAAGCCTACAAATGCCAAACAGTCATTGTCCAATATCCTTTTCCATAAATCCTGTGYGTGGCTTTCACCTTTTCAGTTTTGGTGGAATGTGTTCTGCTTCCAAATACCCTTCATTTAGGTGTTTCAGCAGGGGAATCCAGGTACACTTTATGCCTTTCAAATTTCTGTGGGAAAACTGGCATTTGCCTCTAAATTAGAGTATTAACTTCTCACAGAGAATAGGAGACCCTCAAATTATTAATTTCCATCCTAGTTTGTATTTATTTAGTTGGGAAAGAAGCTACTGATAAAGATGTTATTTTATCTTTCGGTGACGGGTGCTTTTCACTATTTTGCTGCAGCACTGAGTGGAGCATTGCAGTGCTACTGTTCCTTCCTTTGCTTCTTGGCTTCTCATTACAGGGCGTTTTGCTGATTTCTGCCATTTTATAGAGCATATAATATTCAGCATGATGCATCTCTGCTGTTTATAGTTTAAATCTCTGCTTTACTTCATAGCGTTTTACATTTTCCTATACATGTTACATCTTTCCTGCGTGCGTTTCAGGCACATAAAGAAGARAACTGGTGAGTACATTGTAAAGAGTTGACTCTCTTGCATTGTTACGCTAGCTTAGCAGTCAAACTAAAACTATGCCTATAGCTTTTATTTATCTCCATACAAGATAGCAGGATTTGTTGTTGCTGCTGTTTTGGTTTGGGTGTGGTTTTTCTGTCTGTTTGTTTTGTTTTGCTCTGTTGAAGCCATAGTAAAAAGGCTTCTGAATGAGTTCTCCTTCATTGTCAGATTTTTACAATGATGAGTTCTTGAAGACCTGATTTTTCACAAAGAATCGTTCTAAATAAAAAGGACAGATTTTAAGACTCCCATATATTTCTCTAGTTTTGTGACCCGCTAGCAAGAAAAAGATGCTTGTTCATCATGCCTTGTTTATTGCATGCCGTGCACATTCTAAGTGTAGAACATTTATATTTTTCTAGGGCTTTGCCTATTATGTATGCTGTAGCTCTTGACCTTCGAATTTTTGCTAACAATGTAAGTAGATCAGAACTGTACATTAAGAAGCTGATTAATTTCATCCGTTAGGAGCTATTATTTCTGGTAGAAATATTTTATACTTGTCATATTAACCTGATTTTGTTCACTACTGTTCAAGCTGTTGCTTAAAAAATAGGCACACTTAAACATACTCATATGTTGTTTTGTGAATGAGTATATTCATACACTTGCATAGAGAAAGTGTGTGTGTGCGTGCACACACAAGTGCTTGTGCACAGCCAGGCTGTGTAATAAGTCTCAATTCTGTAGCCAAATGACACAGAAAATTTGTATTTTTGAGACTCACAAGGAATGAGTATTTGGGATCTGTCATGCTRGAAGCATTTGAGCAACTTCAGTATACTCAAAAGATGCATTTCTGTTTCTTTTGCTTACATTTCACCTACTGGAAATGAAAGCAAGGGTCAGTGTTGTAGTGAAGCTTGTTGGAAAGCACATTAGCAAATATCCACAGTCTTGGTGGGTTTTTTTTTTTTTCCCTCTAATCCTTGTTGATTGTTTATGTTCTCTGTTAATTAGTGCGTGGGATCTGAGATSCTTCCCACTTGACATGAACAGTGTTGCCAACTCATTGTTTTCTTTTGGGTCTGCAACATAGGCTTTTTTTTTTCCCCTGAATATGTCATGTCCTAGTCATGTGCAATTGCTGGTAAATGTGTGGACTTTTGATTTTGTTTGATTTTGTCTTTTTTGTCTTTTTGCTTTGCTTAAAAATCCAGACTGCAGACTTAAAAATTTCCAGACTGCAGAGAGAAACTAAATCATAAATTCTGTAACTTATATTTGTATTTCAAAAAACATTACTTTGTTCTTACTTAAAAGACAGTCTTTTTTTTTTTTTTTGCTTGACCCTTGCTCTTTGAAAGCTTGAGTTAGGATTAATGCTCCAATTTAGCTGTAATGTGATTCTGAATGTAGGTGTCTCAGTACTGTATTAATCATAATGGTGCTGGAGCTGATGGTGCTAGGGGTTATTTGCAACATTCTGATTGTCTTTCTGTGTATTCAGTTTGTTGCAAGCTGCTTAGAAGCCTCTAATTGTTTTAGTTATTTGCTTTCAGTTACTTTTGTTCTGTAAACTTGAGTGTCTTTCAGGCTTTGGGGAACGGAAGGCACACGGGCATGACGAATCTGTTGTGCTTTGCCAAATGCTGTAGTAGGGAACTAAACTCTTTATAATCCTGTGAACCACGATGTCSAATTACACGTTGTTTCTTGCCATGCAATGACAGGCAGATCAACAGCTGGTGAAGAAGGGGAAAAGCAAAGTTGGTGACATGTTGGAAAAAGCAGCAGAGTTGCTGATGAGCTGTTTTCGAGTCTGTGCCAGTGACACGTGAGTGACAGACCCGCTCTACAGTCCGCACTATTGAATTGTTAAGAACTTAATGAACTRTTTCCTCCCACTTTTAGTCTATTCTCCTTTCACTATTAACCATAGCTGGGGAGGCATCCCTTGAAGTTTGATAACGCTAAAGTATATTATTGGGAGGGATTGATTAGGTTCTTATCTGTCAGGAAAGATGATTAACCCTTTTGTGCCTCACTAGTTGGCAGCRTTTTTTTCTGCCCCCTTTCAGTTAGGCTGGAAGATGATGATTCTTTGCTTTCTGCTCTTAGCAGTTTTAATACTTCTCAAGTGGAGAAAAAGCTTTTTTTTTTCATTCTTCTTCCCCTTGAATACTGGAAACGACGGTTATGCCAGTGTATTTGTTACAGTTGGAGTCAGGAACTTGCTGCACATGAGTGATACCATCTTGCTTGGCATCTGCCATTTTGAGAAGGAAGGCAGCAGAGCTGCCTTCAGGATGGGGGTTGGGACAAACATTGATTTGGCAGTGCTGGTATGGTCTAAGACCAGAAATTTGGCATTGTTTTTTATTTTCAGTCGTATTCTTACCCTAAAACATCCATAACGTGGCTGTAGAGGGAMTGAACATTGTAAGAAACTTAGATTTTATTTCTTACTTTGTTTTTTTTCTTACGACAGGCGAGCAGGCATCGAAGATTCCAAAAAGTGGGGCATGTTGTTTCTCGTGAATCAGCTGTTTAAAATTTATTTTAAGGTAGGTTCAAGTCTAGTATGCTTTTTTATTACGATTATTATTACTATTATTCAATATTCTAAGTCAAATTCACCCCTCTTTATTATTTACCCTCCGAGTAAAATACAGTTAACTTTTTTAACAGATCAACAAGCTTCACTTATGTAAGCCCTTAATTAGAGCAATCGACAGCTCCAATCTGAAGGATGAGTACAGTATGGCACAGAGGGTGACGTACAGATACTACGTTGGACGCAAAGCGATGTTTGACAGTGACTTTAAGCAAGGTACTGTGGGTCCCTAGCAAGCTTTGAACTCTCACTCCTAGATGTGAAATGTGCTTGATGTCCTTTGAATCAAAACTTCTACAAAAGGTGCAGTTGTGGGGTTTTTGTTTGTTTGTTTTTACTGACCAAAGCAAAATCACGTTGCATGATCCAGGGACCCATAGGCTGTCAGATMTGAGGTGACTTATCTATGTGACACTTCTAATCGTAGTATAAGCCCTGTTGCTAAATGTTGCTGTCTATAAATTGCCCTGTAGTCCTCCTAAATACACTGTGTGTATGCATAATAAAATAGTTATCTTCTGGGTGAGCATCAACAGGCTATGTTTGTAAAGGGTCTTACAAAGGAGGCTTTACAACTTCCTTTTCCTCTTGAAGTTGCTCTATGTCAGGTAGGAAACCTTCAGCAAAGTGTACTGTGTGATTAGAGCCAGTGCCCAAACAAGCCACTAGTTTAAAAGAAAAGGTTCTGGAGCTGGTTTTGTTCCCTAAGCAGTTTCTGTCGCCTGTTAGCCCTGTCGTCTTGGTCTCAGTGAAAACTGATACAGGCTTTTCACAGTCCTGTGCTGTACATGCTGGCACACTTCTGCATTATCAGTAGAAGTGAGCATCAATCACAGGCTGCTCACATGCCCTGGAGAACCTGATTTGTGCATTTGGAGACTCTTTGTTTCATCAGAGCTTTGTGAGATTCCTCCTGTCCTGTAGTAGCACCACCACTCAGTAATGTTACTGACTTGAGCTGGTAATTCCAATTTCATTTGTAACTGTTACCTTTGGCCTCTAGACATAGACATTTTTTGTTTCTGAAGGTACATTTTTTGTGTGTATTTTCCTGACCTATTTTGATTTGATTCCTTCTTACATCATTCAAAATGTCATGGGTGCAGCCTGGAGACAGACATGAAGCACAGAATTTGCCTTGTAGTTTTAATCAGTTTTGCTGTTGACTCGGTGTTTTTATTTGTGTCTGCAGCTGAAGAGTACCTGTCGTTTGCCTTCGAGCACTGTCACCGCTCAAGCCAGAAAAACAAGAGAATGATTTTGATTTACCTGCTGCCTGTAAAAATGCTGTTGGTGAGTAGATGTTACTCTTCCAAATGAATTTAGAGGGGCAGATGAGACATGCTGGGTATCAGCATAGTTTTGTTTTTCCCACATTGATATTCAGAGCTCTCTCTGCCTGTCCCACATAAGTCATCATACATAGATTTGTACAGCTGGAAACAGTGTTGCCCTGTCATTACGCATGTAAATGTAGAAAACAGGGGAAACCCTAAATATTTTCCCCATCTTTCTTTGAGCTCTCTCAAAAGTAGAACCTGAAGTTACCTATTTAATAGAAACAAATGCTCCTTCAAGCAGCTTAAAGTTAGAAGAGCTCAGCTGATGTGTAGCTAATGTTGCTGAGCGCCTGCCTTGTGGTCAGCTGTGCACATGTGGGCCAGGAAAATACGTGGATTCACTAGGACAAATCTATCCCTGTCACCAGAGGGGAGTAGAGAGGCTATGCGGGTAGTTTGCTGAAGACTGTCRGAGCAGATCAGCCGCAGGAAATAAAGGACTCCTGGCCTTGGCTTTTCCAGCTTAGGGCTTGCCGATGGCAACTTGTGCATCTACCTGCTTCAGGCATGTCGGAAGTGTCACCAAGTGGAGCATTTTGGTTTTGATCACTAAATGGATCAATGAGGTCTGATTTACCATTTGATCGTTTTAGATATATATATGCATTTAGTTCTATTAATGTATATAAATAACATTAATGTATATAAATAGAACTAAATGCATCTCTGCTGCTTATTCCTGTCCTCCATCCACTGTTTGAGTTCCCTGAGTTACTGTGACTATACAAATTTTATTCAGTGTAACTGAGGGGCCAAGAACAAAATTCTGGAGTGTTTTCTATTCCTGGCCCTATTACAAAAGTGATCCTGCTCACATGGTTAATGCATTTATGATCCCCTGTGAGAGTTCCCTTCTTCCACTTTTGCCCCAACCTGTTTGTGACAGTTCTCCCTTTTCCCTTCTGCGCTCCCTATTCAGCCCCTTGCAGTTTCATGTTGGTTATTACTCTGCAGCTCCTTTTTGATGACAGAAACCTCTCGTGGGGAAAGGGAGAGCGTAGGGATGATTAGATGCTGTGTTTCATTTGTATTTATTGTCATTCTTACTAGTTGTTTTCAGATCAAGCAGTGATAGGGTTGACAAAGCAAAAGTAACAGACTTGCTATAAAGTTTTCCCCCTTTCAGCGGCTGCCTCGGGGCGGTGGGTCTTTCAGAGACCCCAGGGCTCTTGTGGAGCAGTTGTAGTGTGCAAGAGGCCCTAAAGAAACCAGGTGAAGGTCCTGAAGAATTCATTTTTTTAATCAGTGGCCGAACATTACCATGAACATACTAAAATAGCTTGAGTGTTCTTGGTCGTGGTGGGTTTTGGGGGTTTTTGTTTTGTTTTCTTGTCTTATTCCTAGCAGCTCTCAGTAGACATGTGGCTGAGCTGCTGAGTTCTGCTCTCAGTAATCCCCCAGCCAGGAGAAGGGGTTACCCACAACACAGGATGATGACAGGGTCACCGAATGCTTCTGTGGTTAATAGTGGTAACTAAATGTAACATCTGACCAAGTCCATGTGCAATATCATCTCTGCTGTACATGCAGGAGGGGGGGGGAAATAAGTTTCTTTCTGATAATGCACAAGATTCAAAGTCTTACCTGATGTAACGCTGAGAACTTTTTATTTTTCTTTGAATTGTCTTTTAAGAAGGGACATTTGTACATCCATATGGAGCCATAGTGAAAAGAAACCTGGTACAGACAGAGCTAGCACTGAGCTGCGCTGAAGTGCTGCTTGTGGGATTAGTAGTTCTGGGAGTTTGCTAATTAGATCATACAATCATAGCATACAGTTTGCAACAACMTAGGCCTGTGTCACAGGATCTTCATTTACAAATTTGAGAACTGTTCCCCAATAGCTAGAAATTCTAAGAGACTCCCTGAACCATGATATACAGGTAGTTATCACAAGCTATGTTACAGGGTGTTTGTGTCTTACAAAATACTTTTATTTATCTCTTGTTCTATAGCAAAGGAAATGTAGTTGAACATTTCTGTTTCTCCGACAAATGTTTTTTAATTTTTACTTAAAATACCTTTGACTTGACTCTGGAAAACTTGGAAACGGTTTATTTTTCAGGGCCATATGCCAACAATTCAGCTCTTAAAAAAGTATGACCTTATGCAGTTTGCTGAAGTAACAAAGGCTGTGAGGTATGGGGTCTTTATTTTATTGTATCGTATTTGTTAGTTCAAAAAATGTTACATAAATATTTTTATTTGGGATGACTGAGGGGGGGGGATTATTCCTACCAATTCAGACTTTCTTCCTTTTGTCAGAAGGATCAGACCTTCTCATGTTTTTATTTCTTCCATCCTTACAGTGAAGGCAACCTTCTCCTGTTGAATGAAGCTCTGACAAAGCATGAGACCTTCTTCATTCGATGTGGAATTTTCCTTATTCTGGAAAAGCTGAAAATCATCACCTACAGAAATCTCTTCAAGAAAGTGTAAGCCTAGCAAGCTATATTTTTGCAAAGGCAGATTTAATGTGGTTTTACCTAGGACTGAGATGGAAGTATGTATATTCCCTAGTTTTCTCTAACAGACCAAATTTCCACTTAAACTGAATTTACTGTAGAGAATCCATTTTACTAAGAACCAGAGTTTTTCGGTGATTTTTGTTTTATCTTTTTCTCCAGATATTTACTACTCAAGACCCATCAGCTGTCTCTGGATGCCTTTCTGTTTGCCCTGAAGTTCATGCAAGTGGATGATGTTGATATTGATGAAGTTCAGTGCATTTTAGCTAACCTAATATATATGGTACGTGCTCCCCACTTTGCTTTTTGTTCCTTGCAAACTGCAGTCAGTAAAAGTGATTATAGAGAATGGAAGTTTATTACAGAATTATATTAGATCCATATACCTAAATCTAAAGTGTTTGTGTTTGGTAGCTTATTATTCCTTTGAGCCCAAAGGGCAAATGTTTTTCATTTGACATGGAGAATTACTCTAGTTGCTGCCTCTTTCTGARGAACCAGATTTCTGAAGCATTGTGGTATGCTGAAGCATAACTAAGATAACAGAGAGTGGGACAAAGAAATGTGCAGTTTCGTTTATTAGATTGGGAGTAACAGTTAATTTAAACCATAGTTTGAAAGTGAGCAAGAGTGAACTTAAAAACACTTGAGTTTTGCCCCCTCAAGGAGATGTAAACTGACCAGAAGGGGGCCCTGGCAAGAGGCTCTCACTCTACCAGAGATACTGGTTCACATTTATTGTTAAGGTTCCAACTTCCTGCCTATCGTGCGAGCAGACTGACTAGAAACTGTTTTGCTTGCATGGGTATAGAAAACAAGCACAGCAGTGCAGTGATGATGGAGTATACCACCCACAGCTTGGATTCAGTCTGAAGACAGCTGAAATACAGAAACCATGGTAACACCCTCTGTTTTTCTCCTCCCAGGGTCATATTAAGGGGTATATATCTCATCAGCATCAAAAGCTGGTGGTCAGTAAGCAAAACCCATTCCCTCCGCTGTCCACGGTGTGTTGAGCCTTGCGTCTCCTCCAGGCAAGTGCTTCTCAGCTGCTCCGAACCACCCAGCGAACACTGTAAATGACCTGGTCCGTGGCCAGTGCTGGAATACCAGGAACTGTTTGTGGCTCCTTTCCCAGAACGGCCAAGGCTGCCAAGGTAGCAAAGTGCATTGCAATGAAACGCCSACTTTTTAACCAGGACTTCCACGGGCTTCCTAGAGCATTTGAAGTGGCTCACCAGGAAAYGAAAGAAGAGCATTCCACATTCCTTCTGAAGTGTTTAAAAGCTTTATAGAAAGTACTTTATGTTTTTGTTTTTGCGTTTATCTGTCTGAAAAGAGAAGTGTTATGCTCTAGTRCTAAGGATATTACTCCCATCTTCTGGGTGGAAACAATGTTTTTCTTTTTAATTTTTTTTTCTTTTTATTTTTCAATAATGGTATTCATGACTTGCTGATATTGAATACTCTCTTCAGGCCCTCTCTAACAACTGGAGATTTTGTGCTTGACACCAAGAGCTTTACTGTGTCATTGAAACCTGTAAGTGTAAATAAATGTTGGATGTTTAACTAGAGGTGCTCAGAARTGGCTCCTTTTTCTCTTTTGTAATTCCTGAAGCAATTTGTTTAACTTGCATCATGATGAAAAAGGGGCATGGCCAAGTAATTTATCTCTACACCACTTTATTCTGTTTCTGGAGAAAAGACTGCCACTGGGTCCATGATTTTAAGTGTCTCCTCTACAGGCTCCATTACCTTAAGTTTTGTGGTGGTGGGTTTTTTGTTGTTGTTTGGTTGCTTGCTTTTTTTTTTTTTAAAAAAATTACCACATAACTTTGCCTGTAACGCTGGTATCTTGTTTGTTGGCTTTTGTCGTGATTTCGAAGGGAACATGCAGTGATATAAGGTTAAATCCTGCATTGACGTGTGTGTTTAGAGGCCTGGTATTCCTGTGGCTATACAAAATAATAATTGCGCGGGTGCTGAAATAAGAATATGGATATGTTGAAGCAGAAGAGAATGAAATAACTTATTTCCTTTTAGAAACAAAAGTCTGTAACAAACTTCCAAAGCTTTTTGAGTTAAAACATTGACAGTAATAAGAAACTAAGAGTTTTGTTGTTTTTTTTATTAAATAGGTTTTTCACATAATGTTTTTTTCACAGTACTGTGTCAGCAGAGGAAGGAGAGGGAATCTTGGGCTTCTTTCTGTGAGCTGGAGTTAAATATGTACAGTATTATTGCAGCTTCCCTTCCTGTGTGTTGTGACCGAGAGTCAAACTGCTCTACGCGCTGCACCCAGGTGTTCCTGGGTTCCGTGGGTGCAAGCTGCAACACAGGCAGTTCCATCTCCAGGTGAGGAGGAACTTCTTCCCTGTGAGGGTGGCAGAGCCCTGGCACAGGCTGCCCAGGGAGGCTGTGGAGTCTCCTTCTCTGGAGGTCTCCAAACCCACCTGGATGCTGCCCTGTGCTCTGGGTGTCCCTGCTGGAGCAGGGGGGTTGGACTAGATGATCTCTAGAGGTCCCTTCCAACCTCAACCMTTCTGGGATTCTGTGATTCCTCGCAGGCAGCGGGAGGAGTTTGGTGCTGGAGAGTTGGTTGCGTTTGTGTCTTACTTCATTTTTTGCTTAAACCACACCRCGTACCTGGCGGTGTTGGTGAACACGAAGGTCTCCGAGTCGCCGTTTCCCGGCGGCCGGGAGCCCAAGATCCCCGTGAGAAACCAGGTGCCCTTGTACTCGGCGGCGACGAAGCCGCCCCCAGCCAGGCGCCCGGCCGCGGCCTCCCGCCGGCGCCCGCAGAACTGCCGGGTCGTGAGGCTGCCGTTGAGCGCCCGCTGGCAATCCTCAGCGGGGACATAGGAGACCCGCAGCTCCTCGCCTCCCCCGCCGGCCCTTTTCCAGCCGCTGACGGTCCCCACCACGTGGGGAATCAGGACGTGCTCCGCAAAGTCCCGCTCGGGGACGCACACGGGCCGCTGGTGGGTGCTGCACTCGACGGGAGCTCGGAGYCGGAGTAAGGCCACGTCGTTGTCGCCCGTGTCGGCGTCGTAGCGCATGTGCACGTGGATGGCGCTCACCCGCGCGCTGCTCTCTGCTCCTGCTGTCCCGTTGTGCCCTGTGGGGCAGTAACAGGCTCGTGATGCCTCTTGTTAGTTATGGGGCATCACTCAGGAGGGATGTAGCCGAAACCTTGAAGACTGCATGCAGCAGCAACYGCTGGTTTATTCTGGGAAGCGTGTTCAACTGAGAAACTACATGGTGTTTGTTTTTCAACAACAACAAATACCCTCAAAACAATAAACTAGAGTAAATGTAAATTGGGGGGCATACATAGTTTCAGAGTGGAGGTACAAGTAACCAAGGGTGGCAGGGAATTCTGGTGTGAAATATTATCATTTTCTCCTTGGAAAAGGGAACACCTCTCAATTGAGCTGTTTTTGCCTACTTCTAGGCCATTACAGTGTTGTCCCGTTGCAGTTCTGCGTTGACCTCTAGAGGTGCTTGTCTCTCTTGGCTTGTTGAAGACACCTCTGCTTCTCATTCAAGATACTCAACTGAGATGCTTAAACAMGAAGCTTTTCTTATAATATTTTTATACAATAGAATTTTTAATAAGCTACTTTTCAAATTAGCTTGCCATTACTTAAGCGTGCTGGGGAAAAAAGKAAAAAAGTAATAATAAAAAAGGTATGGTCACCTACCAGCACCAATCCTGATTTCAAAATTGCTGTGCAGAAGGGCACACTCTGCTGTTGTCAACACAAAGTTCCTTTTCAGTAGCACTCCTCCGCAGAAGCCCTTCCCTTCTGAATTAAGCAGCAGCACCTCAGAGGAGGAAAGAGGGAACAAAAAAGAAGAAAGAGAAAAGAGAAGGAGGAAAAGCAAACCAAAAAAAGACAACAGTGAACAACTCTGCTTGCATGAGGCTGACTGATAGGTTTCATGAAATGCCAGAAATACCTGCCAAGGAAAGCCCTTGTCCCGTTTCCTCCTGGTTTCACTTGTCACACTATTAGTGTCTTGCACTGTGCCACATGCACACTCATCTAGCAAAAGAAGAAAAAAGTGAAAATTCATGTTGTATCATTTCGAGACAATCGCTGTCTGCAGGTATTTCATTGCTTCCACGCTGGCTCTGGGCTTGAATTTTTGCACTAGGAAAGAGGAAGCAGGATTTCTTGGCTGTGGAAAACCAGAAGAGTTTGCCTGGCTCCTGTGGTGTAATAGGTTGGTGATGGTGCAGCCTGGTTTGGGGCAGGGTGTTAGGCTCGGGGTGASCAGATTTGCTGTGTCTGTACACATCTTCTGGCCTAGCTTAACTGAAAAGAATCAGGTTTTTGTGACCCTGGACCATACCACAAGGTGAACAGAAAGGGGGATCAGGGCAGATAAATACRAGATCCCCTTCTAAATGCTGTTCCTCCTCTAGGACAACCCTGAATGCGCTTTCTCTCTTAACAGGGATTTAGTCCACCAGAGCAAACTAGAGCTAATCTAGTTTGTACAACCCACCTGAAACACACATCTAGTGCAGACAGGGGATCTTCTTCACTGGGACTGCTGCTCTACAGCTTCTCTCATGTTGTGTGGCCCTTATTTTGCTCATACAGGCAAGGCCTAAGCGTGTTACCATGTGTTTACAGCAGACCTGTTTTGCAAAAGGGGTTAGTATGRTCTGGGAAAAAAAGAAAACAACTCTCACTTTAATTAACAGAGCAGTAAATAGTGCCCTTCATTTATCTGAATCARTTGGGAATGAGGTTTCATTCCCAAACAGACAATGAGTCTTCAGGGGAATTACTCCTTATGGAAAGTGGAAGTAGGATGGAAAACCTGCCCTGGCCTGGTAAGATGATGCAAGTGCCTTCTGCAGACCCACATCTAGGTGTTCAGATCAAATATTACGCTTTCACTGCTGCTCAGGTACTTGGCCACTGGCTGGTGGCCCTTAGTTTTCAYTTTTTTTTTCTGCCAAATCTAGAAGGTCAATGAGGTTCTTGTAACTTGAGTCTCTCAGGAGGCTCAACTGCAACCGGATTTCCATTTTATTCCCCACTCAGCCATGCACGGAGCGGGCGCCCTCCACACCTTGTGCCCCCACCTACCTAACGCAATGCACTGCTTCTTATCCTCGCCGAGCTTGTAACCATCAGCACAGGAGCAGTGGTAGGATGTCGTTCCRGGGTAGCAGAAATGGTGACATCCTTCTTTTGCTTCGTGCCGACATTCGTTTTTAGCTGAACAGAACAAGCAGAGCGTCGGCAACAGGTCAGCTGCAGGTCTYTTGCATAGCTCGAGTCCTCTTTGCTAAGTGCCTAACGCTTCTCGCCCTGCTAAGGGGTGGCTTGGGGTGATGCTCTTTGCCTTGTGGTGATGCTGCCCACCACCTTGTTCCTTCTCTTGTCAGGCAGCAATGGGAGAGAGCTGCGGCTTTGCAATTTCTCCCCACACCAGCATCTCTGCATCTCTGGGTTTTGGAGAACAGTAGTAGTTGAGGGTCAACGAGGCCTTCCCTGTTGGAAGATGCCAGGGACTTCCTTTGTGCACCTTTGAGCACAAAGCACCAGGTACCTTCATTTGGGGGCAGAACCGGCATGTTTTAAGAAGGCAAGTATTGCTTAGGGAGGGGGGAAGCTAAAGCTCCCTGCTTCTCAGTGAAAGCAAATTCACAGCTCTTATTTCTCATACATATGCCAAGAAAATTAAAAGTAACAGCTGCCATTATTAAACATAGCTGAACAACGCCCTTCAAAACACAGTCGCTTTCAGCATTCCATAGCTGCACAACAATCAAACTTCAGCCCCAAGCTGTGGCGTGGTGTGTTTGGCCCATGGATGGAGAAGTAGCAAAAAAAATGGCTTTGGGAGGCTCCCTCAGACTCCTGCTGCGYGGATCTGGTTCCCAGCACTGGTCCGAGGGTGCCTCCCTCAGCGGTGCCCACGGAGCTGCTCCGCGCCCGTCCTGTCGCACCCCGTGCAGACGGGGACGCTGCCTGGGAGCAGCCAGGGCGGCCACCACCCCGGGGAGCCCCAGGCAGGCAGGAATACTGAGGTAAGAGCTGGAAAGCGCATCCGGGTGGATGCGAAAGCCTAGGAGCTGGCCCGGCGTGTTGGAGGTGCCAGAACGCGTCTGTTTTGTTTTGTGCTTCCCCTTGGAATGGTTTGTTGTTTCACCRTTTGCTTTCTCTGGCAAAATTTTGGTGTCTGTTTTCTGAGTAGAGTGAGAATGAAAAAAAAAAATTAATTCCAGCGCAAAGGATGACTAAAGGAAAAAGAGGGCTGCAGCTTTGGGGTGGGTGTTTTGCAGCCCCTGCCTTAAAGGGTTGTAGAGAACTCTTGTTTGTTTGTTTGTTTGTTTGTTTATGTAGTAGCTCTCTTATTTAGTTTTCATACTTCTAATAGGTTTAAGCATAGCAGTTAGTACTAGATAATACAAGAAATAATATGTAATAACCATTAGGCATAGAATGAGGTAAATTTATGAGTTGTGGTTTAGCATATGTAAATATTACAAGGGACTTCAGTGTCGTTAATAGGAAGCTACAGGCTCAAAAATTACTAGAGAAGCAAGAGGTTATTTTTTTCATAGGCAAAGGATTATAAGCAGTAGTTTGAGCAGTAACTACCCAATAAAGATATTTTTTACTGTATTCAGACTGAGAATTAGAACGCAATCAGATATGATTATACCATCTTTAGACTAGAATCTTCTTTATGATTTAGCACATCCTTGTGCCCTTCTGTCCTGAGAGAGAGAGCTTTGAAGGTCCATGTAATATTGGAGGCAGCTACATGACTAAGAAGTCCCATCAGGAGGGGAGTTTGGGGTCTTGATGCCATTTAGCACCCCAGGGCCACAGGGTGGAGGTAACTAGCACATCTTTGGAGTTCTACCCATCTTTAAGGACGAGCAGCCAAGGAGGCTCAGCGGTCTTGTTTTCTGGTGGGCTTTGGAGCTGACTTTGCTTTCTATGCCCTGAAAAGAGGGAGGGTGAATGGAKAAAGTCAAGGCAACCTCAGAATACTGAAAACCATGGCAGACTTGCCGAAGGGCATTCAAGGCAAGTAGCACACATCACCTCTGCCAAGAACTGCATATTTTATCCTAAAGCCAGTAGCTGGTTTCACTAGATGAGCACGGTTCCCAGCGTGTCCCCCACACCAGGAGGAGATGAGCGCCTCGTGGGAGGAGGTGCCTTACCGAAGGCGCAGTTCTCCCCTTCGTAGCCGTCGACGCAGGTACACGTGTAGCTGCGGATGTTGTCCTCGCACACGCCGTTGTGCTGGCATGGGTTTGAGGAGCACCTCTTGCCCTCTAGGGAAACACCACAGGAGAGCGGGGAGTTACTGGCAGCAGTGACCCCCACTTGTATCAATTACACAGCGCTCTTCCCAGCATGGGAAAAAAAAAAGCATTTGGAGAAGTGTTGCCAAAACGGAAGAAAACAGTTAGGAAGGAAATGTTGCATTTCACTGAATTTTGCCTTGTAGGCAATTTTTGCCAGAATCCCCGCTTTCAAATATGCTCTGGCAATGCTTAGCAGGGAAGCAGGGAAGTGCACGGAGGCCAGAGGTGGTTCTGAGGGATTCTGCGCTGCTTCTGGGACCCATCGGACACGTGCGGGCCCCTTCTCTTCCTGCCTCAACTGCCCAATCTGTTGCAGCCGGAGTCTGAAATGGTCATTGTATTAGATGATATTAATTCCCAGAAAACAAGCAGAATACAAAATGATCACAGAAATGATCTTTCAGTCTAGCAATGACTGTTTTCAGCTCTGTGCAATGCAGCCTGGAGCCCGGCCCATTCAGGAGTTTTGGGACATGGAGCAACCGATTGCAGACAGCCCCTCTTCCAAGCCTGTCTGGAAAGGGGAGTCTTCTGGGAGCTGATTCCCAACAAGAATGTCTTCATTATTCAAAAACTATAATCATTCTCTGCAGGAAAAAAAAAATGTAGCTGGAACCTTAATTTTCTGTCAGAAAAGTCCTGAGCGACACTACATTTTTGTTTAGTTATCTCYCTCCTCATTATCTTGATATTCTGAACATGCATTTCCACTAAATTAATGTAATTACCAGATCTTGAATTCTTCAGTATTTCAAATATATAAAAAAACAACCTAACCCTGCTACAGATTTTTCCTGTCAAGCTAATAGCACTGGTGGCACATGCCAAAAGTTCAAAGAACCCTTTTCAGTTCCTCTTCAAGGATGGAGCTGGAGCCTAGTGCTGACTAAACGCTTCATGCATTTACTCTTCAAGAACATAATATGAGATCAGTATTTCAAGTGTTACGTGGTAGATTTAAATATACTGGGCAAAAACCTGGCATCAGAATTATCTAGCGAACATAGTGAACCTGTGTTCCTCCCAAAACTAGGAGGAGATTGGTCTTTTACACACCTGTACGAATAATATGAAATTGCAAGCCAGAGGATTTCCTAGTGCAGATGAACTACAGGCAGAGCTTCAAGGTTCCCTTTAAGCGGGCAACTGGAAAGACTCCAGAGTAGTTTGGAAATGTTCTCCAAATAACAGCAGCTTATCGTGGCACTAGTTGTCTGGGAGCAAGCCAGAAAAGCCTAGCTTGGGACATGAACTCCAACCTTTCTAAAATTCTAAGTCTTCATCTGAAAGGTTAATTCTAGTCAGCGTAACTAGCGTCAGGGACAGAAAGATGAAAACTCTGTCTGATAGTCGGGAAAAAAAGTCAGCTTGGGCTAATGCATGTGCATTTTTTAGCTTTAGCTGTGCTAAAATAACTGGCTTGAAGCAGTTACCACCTCCAGCACAGGTGCAGCGAGGCCCCACCATATCCCAGCAGTGTGTGTCCACCAGGAGAGCTTTGGGCTGGGATGGAGGGGCTCATCAGTGCCCTTGAGGAGGCAGCTTTGAGGCATGAAAAATTCCAGCAGCAGCAGCTGGGAAGCTGGAGCTAGGAAAGGATGGGATCCACAGCCTCCAGCAAGTTTTGTGTTTCAAGCCTCTGAAACACATCCTGAAACACTGGTAAGGAGGCCTTGGAAATTTCTGGGATCATATGAGATACCGTAAGACTGGAAAAAAGGTAAACTTAGCACCTATGCTATGCTGTGTCAGCTTTGATTTAAACAGAGCAAGTTGGATTAACACAAAGTCGAGCCAAAACGTGAGCCAGCAAGTGGCAGTGCTGATGCTCAATCTTTCTCTCCAGCCATGCTTTTATTTGCAGCACAGATTTGCACTGTGAATCCTGGAATATGGATGGAAAAAAAATGGATGATGTGTTTGGGGGGTCTAGAAAAATGTGGCCTTGGAAAACAGGATGAAAACAATGGGTTTGTTTAAAAAATTATTGCTAAATGCTGTTTTTATCACTTCTTGTCTAAACTAGTTACAAAATATTTWAAAAATCAGTTTAAGAAAAGAGAAGCATTCAGGATGCAACATGCAGAGAGGAGCAAGCCCAGTAACCATAAGTTGTTGCCCAGACTCAGTGCTCAGGAGGCATCCAGTTACCTCAGTTTTCTTTACAGGTTGATCTCGATCTCTTGCTTTGGGGGCTGTCAAGACATGACCCTAGGAGCCCATAGGAAGCTCAGGAGCTTTTAGAACCCATCTATCTCACTCAGATTTAAGTACTAGGCTTGCAACAGACCAAGTCAAGATGCTTACAGCTCGACAACATTAAGAAGGAGAAATCAAGAGGGCCAGCTTACCATAATAGGCATCCCAAAACATTTTCTGAAATAAAAAAAAAAAAGAGAAAACATATTTCAATTGTTAAATAACATATTCTTCCATAAATATTTTGGTAAAAMAAAAATATTATGTCAGAGGGTGCATACTTCAGTTCAACATTTGCTCAGCTACACAGTGGGAGGGATTTGGATTCCTGCTCCTTTTATTGTTTGCTGAGCAGTTATTAAGGAGAAAAAYGCACTTTATAGGCAAAAGAGAAACAGCCAACCCCTTCAGCAATATGGTTTCCTGGAAACACTGGCCAGCAATGATCTGTCTGGCCTGGGAAGTGACCCCAGCATTGCTTGGCCCCCCACAAGAGGAAGCTGGAGGGCGTTTAGCCGTGTCCAGGGAATAGATCACAATACTTTTTGACCTCACAACCTTTTAGAACAATGAACGCTTGGGAGAACATTCCCATGTGTGTGTGTGTGGATGTGGTGTGCGCGTGTGTGTGCAATGGTCCATTTTGGGGTGAACTGCCAGAAAGGCAGGTACTACAAAAGGATAAAATAGATGTGGCAGGATGCGGACAGTGATGGGCATCCCCACTCACGGCTAAGGGCTCCTCCTTCATCGTTTTACTCTCTTGCTTGTCCCCCAGAAATTGCTTGGCCCACRCTGCTGGTGGCAACTGATAGCCCTGAATGAGCTGCAGTGATTTAAAGTGGTCATAAACTCTTCCCTCCACACAYCCCTCCATCCCTCTGACCTTCAACTTTCCTTGCAAAAACAATCTCTGGCAAGATTCCTGCTAAGAGCCCAGCATCTTGCCATGCATTTCAGAGGGGCTGTTGTACTTACAAGCATATCATCATTTTCAAACACTTCCCTTGCTTCTTCATGTGTGCATCTTTCCTCCAGGCACTCTCTTTCCAAGCTGCCCTGAAGGACCTCCTCCAAAAGCAGGGAATTGGCTCTCCTGTGCCTCTTGATAACTTTGTTTGCATCGTCACCAGATATAAACACTGAAATATTGCATGACACAATGCTAATATAAGTACTTATATTAATTTTCCCATCTACATTCACTTTTTCAAAGAAAAGATTTTAGTAAGCAGACATATTAATCATGAATAGAAATCTTTTGGCTAATTCAGTGTTGCAGCAGTGTTAAATATATATACAGAAAGAGCTCTAATTTCCCAGCCCAAACTAGACTGAGAAGCCAGGGGGTTGTTGCCTTTTTTTTTTTCTTCTTTTCTTCTTTTCTTCTTTTCATCATACCTCAACATGTGATGTCCTGTCCCCTTGTCACTGTTCTGTGGTAGGCTTCATGGCTCTCTGATCCCAGCAGGGCCAAAACAACAAGTTACTGAGTCATGCCATTATTTATTTTTCCCCTAGGTTTATGCAGCACCAAGTACAAGGGGACCCTGGTCTTTGGCCAGCGCTCTGAGCTTGCACAAAAATGAAAGTACTCAGCTGTAATTCATTGCTGAGCTTTTCTGCAGAATTCCTTGTACATGCAAAAAGCTCTTGAATCTGCCTGCAGCAGCCCCTCCCACTGCTGTTTTAACTATAAAACATCTTTGGACGTGACCAGGGGAAGGAGATATACCACTGGAAAGGCAGAGACGGTTATGTAAGACTCCAGGGGACTCCCAGAATCTTGAGCAGAAGTGAAAATTGTCACTATACATTTCTGATAAAATCAGCAATTTTCAGCCTGATTTCATGGGCATTTTCTGCTGAGGAACATGACATATCTCAGTCAGATATCCGCTATGGAAAACAAATAAAAGTACTTCTCAGTAATGCCCACRAAAGCTATGAGTGCTATATCATATACCATGCCTTATGGGGAGGATATCATAACCTTTGCAGAGGAAAAATCAAAGAAAAGAGAGATGTTAGAGATATCAGCAATGATACCCAGGACAAATATTGCTTGGCAGCAGGATGCTGAGCTGTAACCCATTGTCTATGGCATTAACCCTTAGGCAGCCCTCTGTGTCAGTCTGTATTTGTCACTTCTCCTATACTTAGTATGAAAACCCAATGGGGCAGAGACTGTTTCAGTTTTGTTTTGTTTTGTTTTTTTCCATACAGCAATTTGAGTCCTAGAACTGCTGGGCACAAYAGTTGTGTTAATCAGCTATACTACAAATAGAAAACATGACAGTAGTAACAGGAAATGTATTCTGAAACCACATACAATTTCAGTGTTGTGCAGGATATTCATGTTATACATTAGTATATACTGGCAGTGCACTTTTCTTGGTAGGATCATTTTTTCTTTTCTAAGTGATCACTTTCTTTTTCTCCTTTTCTCATTTATAGCCTCATTTTTGACAAATCATGGAAGATTAACACAGAAATGTGTACTTCTGCAAACTACAAAAAGCTTCTCAGCCTCTTTAATAAGACTKTTTATTTCATCAGTAATTAGAAATATGAAACCATATATATGTAATTCTGTGATTCTGTGATATATATATRTTTAGTATCYGGGGCACTTTTTAGGAATGGTAAGTATAGATAAAATATCATCCTTATGTAGATCATGGCATTTCAAAATGTTATTGCTCCATAACCTACTCTAATTTTTACTCGAGTACATGAAAAAAAAAAARRRRAAWKKWAWWMAAAATAAGGAGCAGAAGTTTTTCAGCAAGGCTGCCCTGTGCTGCAGAAACTGAGCCTGATAGAAGGTACACAGTTACTCACGTGTTTCAGGAGAGTGGGAGCGCAAAGCAAAATGAAAGCTGCAACAAAGCAAAGGCCATACCTGTCTGCTCTGCCTGCAGGAAAGGGAGGACAGAGAGGAGGCCCAAGAGTGTCCCCAAGCCCCTTGCCATTGCCTTGTCTGAGACTTACGGCCGCTCGCCCGCCTGCCTCCCTGCAGCGCCGCTTCCAAGCGGCGACGTGGGAAATGTTGACGTTTAAAGTCCAGCTGCTCGTGAGACAACAAAACCTCCAAGGGCAAAGCCTGTCCTCAGGGTCAACACGCGAGCACCTTAAAAATACCCGTTTGGTGATGCAACAGTGTCACTTTGCACCATGAGARGAATATTCCTCCCATGCCTGGGCCCCTCAGTGCAACCCAAAATGGGGAGAGGTGAAGCCCCATGACTCTTCTTTTGTATCATAATGAAGCACAGGCATGAGCTTGGTGGTAACTGCAGGGAAGAATTTTATGGTGTGACTGGTTTATATCCCCATAAGACATTTACCAAGACAGTAAGGGAAATTCTGCTGTCTTTGCAGGTTAGCTACACTGGTCAAATCCTACTGCCTGTTGGGCTTCAATGAAGTGACCCTGTAAATTTCCGCTAAATTTCCCTTGTAAAGCTGTATTTTAGTGGCTCTGGCATTCTTTCTCTTTATGTGTGCCACGAAGGAGAGGATGGGAAATTCTTCCAGAGCCTGAGGATCTCAGTGGCATCCCTGTATATAGTCTGCCAAAGGGGATCTAGATAAGAAACTAAAAGAAGGATTTCCTCTGCTGCTCTGACCATCAGCTGGCCATCCAGCAAGGCATAAGACAAGAAGACAGATGAAAGCAGATTACAGGAAAAGCCAGGTCCCCACTGAACCTGGATCAGCAGCACGCTTGTGTTGCCCAGGCAGGACATTGCAGCAAGGGGGTCAGGCACCACCCCGGGAAGGCTCCCAAGAAGAGAAGGAAATGATTTACACAGTCAGAACAAAAAATACTGTAAGGAAAAAAGTGCTTTTAAAAAATCTCTTTGGCTTTTCATCTGTTACGTTTTTCATTTATGTATGGCTTTTCCCATGCACTCTCCATGGGGATGTTRTTCCAGAAGTATACTCCAACTTTTTAACTTCAGCCCTTCTAACAGCAAGACTAATTTTATTGGCAACCAATTTCTAACCTTACATCATTGTTTCTCCCTAATATTTCTGAGAACTAATTAACATAGCTTCCCACCCTCTTCGGTTCACTACGAGTCAGGCTTTTCTYAGCACATGAGCTCCCTATCCATGCTCCCCATCATCCCCCTGAGGCCATGAAGTTTACGGCAATTTTCTTGGCATTGGGCTGCGGCAATGCTTTTCCACATTTTTCATGCCAGCTTATAGCCATATTCTCTTCATGGCTGGTGTTTATGCCTCCCTTATATCTCTGCCTTCCTGCAATGATGACTATCACCTGATGTATATGCAGTACAGTGAGCCAGGCTCCCTTCTGCACACTGAGRTGGAAGACATGGCACCACTTGATGTCAGCATTGCCCCAGGACTTTGCAGAAACTGGCACAAAAACATGCATCTGTAAAAAAACTTTTTTTTTTTTTTTTTAGTGAGCTGTTTACATTTTACAAGCTTCTGCCAATTAAGGAGTATTTTTAGGTATAAGCTAATTATTCAGGTCAGGTTAATAATAGCAACACAGAGCTTTAGAGACTGTGTTCTCTCCAAAGTTTAGTTAACATGTTAATACTTTCTTGCTCTTTGTTTGTTTTTTACTTTTTTTTACCAAATATTCCTGGCCGAACTGCTATGCCCTCGGGATGGGTCACAGTGTACTCACTCACGTATGGCCCTGACTTTTTGACGCTGATATTATTGCAACAGGCCCTGCTTTTAAATTTCTATAGTACTATGGAAAATTGCATAAAGGCAGGATTTTAAAAAAGCAATCCTACCCTCACATGTTTTTTTAGTAAAGAGTGATGGGAATCTCTTCCATTCCTTCAAGTACCATAGTGAGCACATGGAGATGTGTTTCAATCAAGTGTCCCACAGACCTATTTCCTGTAAACCTGGTTACACATTGCCTCTTGCTTAAAGAAGGAGGCAAAATGCACAGAATTCTTTACTTTTAAATGATCTCGTGCACACTGGGATTCTGAGAAGTGCCTCAGAGCCTGTGGCTGCCTTGGGGTCCCTCCTAATGGTGGTGACCACGACCTCTCTGAAAAAGGACCRTAAAAGCGCGTCTGCGGCTCCTTGGAATGGAAATGCCAAATATTCAGGAAGCAGAGTGAGTGACACAGGTACGTGCAGCAAGCCAAGGGAAGAAGGTTTGCCAAAGAAGAGCTGCGCTTGCTGTGATGAGGTGGTGACAGGGACAGGCCGATGTCACTCACGTCATGCGGTGGCCCCGCGCTACCTGTCACTCGTCGCTTGGCAGAGGGCAGGCCACGGGGGAGCTCTTCCGAGCAACGGCCACTGCCATCCACTTTCGGGAAATGTGTCCACAAGAGGGGACAGTGATTATTTTCCAGAAGTCATCCCTTCCTCTGAGCAAATCTCAATATCCGATTTCTGGGCTTATGGTGCGTAGCGGAGGGAGAAATTCCTCTTGCAGGTACACACACAAATGCTGTGGTTAGATGTATTTCTTGGAGAGCAGATCAAACCTGCTTCACAGTGAAGGGCACATGCCACACAGCCTCCCTGTAGCAGAAGGTACAGACGTAGTTCCTGGCATGTGCTTCCTCCTCTGCCTCGCACACCTGCAATACAGCCTCTTTTCTTCTCTGTGAAAGCTTTGCAGCCATCAKCCCCTTTCCACAGGCTGCTCTGGCATCTAGGGACCAGGAAATACGAAAAACCCATGACTGTTTGCTGCCTTGAGGCTGGGAGGAGGAGATATGGGGAATGGGACCACCCCTCTAAAAGAAAACTCCATGAGGACCAGACTCCTGAGCTGTCATCTTCTGCCATGTCCCATCTCCTGTCCTGAATGCCTCACACTGGGCCTAAAAGTGTTTCATGTTGGGACAGAAGAAAATGGAGAGATGAGATTTCTTCAGCATGTTTAGAGATGTATAATTTGGTGTCGTGTGAAGGATGAGGGGAACGGTTGTGAGGGGATGGGAGAAGAGCAGCCAGGGGAGTGTATGGCTGTAAGAAGGGAATGCTTGAATCCTATCGGAGTAATGGAGCAGGAAAACACAGGAGCCTAAGAAGAGAGTGGGAAGAAGGAGGCCAGAGAGTGGTGGGAGAAGTGSGTTGGGGCTGTGGCAAGGAGGAAAAACAGGATGGAGAAGAGAAGCAGAGTGGGATCAGCCTGCAGAAGGGGTATGAAGTTTAAGGCAGTGGAAAAGATGCAGCTTTGAGTCCACAACATGCCATGCTTGGTCTGTAGCAGGGGAATTGYACCTCTGACACCGACGAGAGGAGTATCTCCAAGACAAGAGGTACTGATCACAATTTTCATCAGTTTCAGATCACAGTTTCAGTTAGCTTCATATATTTATGAATTTCTATATGCTTAGTATGCCATTTTCACAATGAGCCCTTCTTGTGCTATTCCGGAAACTCAGAAAAACTCGAGTCACTGGCAACAAGGCTATAGCAGCAGCCCTTTCAAACCCATCTGCTGTGAGCTCACTTGCTGAGATGATTGCATTGAGGGTTTTTTCACTCACTGCCCAAATTTRCCACTGACTGCTACACATGATGCTAAAAAATGATGTGAGGTGTCCTGTATGACAAACTCATGCTTATAGTGTTGCTGTCTTCACATCTCCTTCCCCAGAGGCAAGAGCCCTGCAGCCCCTGCAGCTGCATCACAGCAATTGCTACCAGCTCCAAAGAGATTTAGGTGTCAGAACTAAGTTTTACTGTGTCCTCACTCAGGACTTCATCTGTCTGAGGGCTGATTTGTATGCATCTGTGTCAGAATGTATTTAAGAAGATCATTTCTTATACAAATACATTGTGTAGCTATTACAAAGGGGAAATGAAAGCAGGAGATTGGCAAAGGAGAGCTGTTTTTTTTTTTTTTTTTTTTTGAGTTAAAGAAGCTATCACTTACAAGCACCTGCTGAAGAGCAACTAAATGTGAATGGATGCGGTCCAGTCTAGTCACCAGTCAGTCCAAAACAGGTGAGTGTGATCACGCATAGTCTTGCTCAAGAGCTAGTAATGCATGACATTTGCTCTCATTTACGTGCCAAAGTACCTATCTGCAAGCATGTTTAAAAGCAGGTCTCAGTGTATGCAGAAGCTACACAACTGTGAGCTGCCAGCAGAACGGAAGCACCTACCCCACAAAGAGTTAATGCTCAGTGGAGTTAAAGGGGGTTATAATTCAGTTAAACGTCTGGAAAGTCATCAGCCAGTTCTGCTCACCATCTGCATGAAAAAAAATAATTCTTGCCACATCCAAAGGGTATGGCCATTTCTAAAAGCTGGAGGAACTGCAGTCATTTTGGAAGAGTGTCAAAACTGCTTCTTTGGTTAGGATATGGATTGCAGGAATTCCTGAGAGAATAGGGCTGGATGGAGAAATGTGGCCTGGGGAGGTTTGATTTTCTGCAATGACTTCTGTACCCACAGCAAGGTTTTAATTTGAGGACAAAAACCCTGCCATGAGGTTGTGTAAACCTCCTGAGAGCTTGTGACTGGCAAGGAAAAACATCTTGGAACTACTCTGACATCTAGGTAGATGCAAGCTTCCACATCTTGTATGTCTGTGCACCAGTTGCTAAACCCCATAATTGTTAATATTTCAGTCATTAAAATAAATTCTTCCTTTACTTTTACCTTCATGTTTCTTTCCCTTACCGTTCTTTCATCTGAACTTCCTTCTCCTTTCAAAATTTCAGCCCATGAAAGTGAACACCAAGCAGCCATAGATGAAAGTGCATATGCACAGGGAACATCATATCTGTTAGGCGCTTCTGTGCTAAATGAGGAAGTTCAGTAAGTTCCCTTATGAGAAAACTCAGAAAACTCACTATGTTGTTTTTGCCTTTTGAATGAGGCTTGTATGATTTTTCTTCCTTTTTCTTTGATAAGATCTGCCTTTGACCTAACCTGTACCTCAGGAAAAGATTGCTTGAGGATGGTCCGCAGACAAAGTTATACACACTTTTTTTCAGGCAAATTCCTGGKAGATAGAATTTCCTGGCAGTCAGAAGTGGTCAATGTGGAAATAAGAAAGTGCTTTGAGCTTCCTTTCTTCCAATCTGGGACTTACCAGATTACTTACCTTCTGAAATAAAACRTCTGTGTAATAGTAGGAATTTGTCCTTTCAAAAGCCACTTAAATAAATCTGATTTTGAGAGTTTGCTAATACAGAGGTTTAGGCCTCTTACCGTGGTATCTGAAATACTTCACTGAGTTTGGCCAAGAGCTTTACAAAGTTTTACTCCTGTGCTCACACCCTTGCTCCTCAGGCTTCCCTGCCTGTTGCTCTTTCTGCTAGACTATCACCCCCAATCCTGCCCCGTCATGGGCAGGAGTCCATGCTGACTGCAGGTATTGCGATTTAAGGTGTTTCTGGACCAGCAGACCATTCCCTTTACAACAGGGACAGCAGAAGAGAGCCCTGTCCCAACCTCAACAGCAACAGCCCAAAGGCTTTGATCAGCCCTGTTCGAGACAGGCTGATCTGGGTGGCTGATATCATTCTTGCCATATCCCTGACTCCTAAACTACAGAAGACAGGAACTTTGTGGTATCTGCAATTGTACACCTCTAGGTTGCATTTGAAATTGGACTTCTGTATTCATGACAGGAAAAAAAAAATCCATGCACACTGAAAAATGATGGCACAAAGTTATCCATCTTTCAAAGTAAACCTTCCRGGATGGTGTGAGTTACAACTTTATMCTCTCTGTCCTCTCTGTGAGGACTTACATAGAACTTAGAAAGAGTACAGGCAATGTGATGTGTGCCTTGATATACATCTTGACTGAGTTTGTTTTTACCTGATACTGAGCACTTGAGCAGGATGAGGAAGGTGTTTCAGGTCTGCAGCCACAACAGATCAGCATATAAAGGAAAAGCTCTAGTTACCGATTCCACGGGATGCACAACGACCTGTAGTCTAAGCTCATTGTAGGTTTCTTTGCCTTTTGGAATGGATTACGAGTAAGTCAGGATTGCTGCAGAGTCTGGACAACTGGTGATTCAGGACTGGATGGGAGGAAAGATGGTCAGYAACAAGGGAACTGCTCAGCAGGGAAAGTCATGTGCGATGTCCTCTTCACAGTCATTGGAAAATGTATGAATGTGACCAGGAGCCCCACGTATCACGTTCATATCTCAGTAGATAGTTTAGGGCTGAATTATAACCCCATTTTAATTGAGGTCTTATTGGAAGTCAGGCCAGAGTAAAGCCTTTGAAACAGGAACATTAGGAAGTCAAATATGCAGCTATTTGCAAAATTTCCAARTATGCAAAGAGGCTGAGCTTTAACCTCTTGGGACTYTCACATTAGTGACTGAATTCTATCRCCTGCRTAGCTGTAGTTCCTCCTYGAACTCCAGGAGGGGGTTAATCTAACATTTCTGAGTTTGAGRATAGGATAATAGGGAGCTATTGTCAGGGAAAGGGGAAAAATAATAATCATACAGTCCTCATACAAATGCAACAGAATCCAGAGTGATTTTTTTCTGAGTTTTTGGTATGGAAATAAGGAAGTGTTAATCTCAGGACAAGTTTAATCACACTATTTCTTTCAAATTTATCAGCATAATCCATTAAAACAAACAAACATGCAAGAATGGTGATTCCCACATCCGTAAACTGGATAGTGTGAAGCCAGGGAATRAGAAAAATATAGAATATACTGTAGCATAATTAGTGCAGGAGGTGTTATAAATTATATTACAGCATAATGAGTGCTATAACACCTCTTTCCCCTCTTGTTTAGAATATGCACTGACACACTTTCTAAAGAACACCACAGAGTACTTTCTATCTCTGTAAAGACTCAAACATTAAAATGTCTATTTCATGATTTTTAAGTACACTGAGGTGGCTGAAAAACAGGGCTTTCTCCTCTCAACACTGAAAGAGGCGGCAGAGCATATCAGGCTCAGGTGGTTAAAAAAGCCAGGCATTTTTTTTCAGTTTTGAAAGACAATTTATCTCCATATATTTTAGAACTCTTCAGCTGTGAAGAGCACTTTATATAAATGATGACACATAATTCATGTGGCGTGTGCACTCCATTCATTTTATTACTGCCAAATCATGAAGTGAATAATGATGGTGAAGAAAGTATCTCAGACGGAAAGCAAGAAAATATGAGCAACGGATATGAGCAATTTTGATGACTTCAAGCAAGGTTTTACAGGACAATTAACAGAAGCTAATAAAACGCTTGTGTGACACAGTCAGTTATTTGGAATCATAAAAGATATATCAGTACTGTCTACATTTTCTMGCTTTTTCTGGATGCCTAAATATACATCTAGAAAATCACATGGTTTATCATGAGGTTTTAGAAGTACTTTGCTACTCTGATACTGTCCTAATTTGTTATTGCCCTAGTCTGACTTATAAACCAGCTCTATAAAGCAACTACTGACAGATATATATTGATTTAATTTCAACTTTGTTTGGAAAAGGAGAGGGCTTATCAGCATAATCGAAGTCTTCTATAGACAGACTTGAATAACTACAACAAGAGAAGATGGAGTTCCTGAACCATCTTTCTGGAAGACGTTACAGTATTGTCCAAAAGTAGTAGTTCTATTTTGAGGTCTAAGCACACTTTCTGAAAACCAGGCATTAACTCATGAAAGAATAAATGGCTTCTCTTAACAGAATTTTAGCAGGTTTATGAAAAAGAGGACATTATTTAGAGATCAGATCTGCTGGTTAAAACAATGCAGTTGATTAAATGTCAAGGAATTAAGAATTTTGGTCCAAGATGCTTCTTACCCAGGGCAGAAACTTTGACAAGTTGGTGTATATTCCATACTTTCCTGGTGTTCCACAGCCTTCGCCCCAGCTAATGATGCCAGTAACAAAATACGTGCCGTTGTATTGGGTTACATGGGGGCCTCCTCCGTCTCCGCTGCAGGCATCTCTTCCATCTTTATTATAACCAGCACAGAACATGTTTTCTGTGACCAAACTCCGAATGGCAGGCTTGCACGTATCCATGTCTACATAAGGGATTTGAAACACTTTCATTCTTCTGACCAGCTGTTGATGAGGAGAGAGCCTTCCAAAGCCACTAATAATTCCGTATGGTTGTTTCATCAGAACTTGAGTAGCAAAGTCCTCCTCTGGAAGGCATGCTGGGRTAACGTACTCAGAGAATTTTATACGTTCCTTTAATTTGATAAGAGCTATGTCACTCTCATAAGTTTCGAAATCAAATGCGTCATGTATGATTATTTTCTCCACTGTGTGCCTTGCTTCGCTTTGTTCTTGTTTTTTTGTGTCCACGTCCCCTGCGTCAGATTATTAAAAGCATCAATAATATGACAATGTCAGCAAGTCTAAACATCATCTCAATACAAGAAAGTACCAAAGTCCCCTTTACTTTGTGTAGGTGTTTGTACTGCACTAGTGAGATAGATCAGGGCTGTATCCTGATGCTATAGTATTTTATACTCATTTTGAATAGGTTTAGATGACATGAAAGTGCCAAACAGGCATGGTGTTCAGAGTCAGGATGATGTGCTCAGTGAGAACTAGCGTAAGAACCTCTGGGCTCCATCACAACGTCCCCAGGGGCACTCTCATGACATAAAACCAAAAACTCCAGCACAAAAGAGCAGGATATCGCCTCTTTGTTGAGTCAAACATGTATGCATTCATTTTCTTTTTAAACTTTAGCATTCTAAATTGCATGTAAAATACATATTTAGTTTTCCTCAACTTGTATTCAAGTCTTTGAAATTATTCTTTGAGAATTAAATGGGAAAGCAATTGGAATCTGGACAAGGTATTCTTTGATTTACTGTTGTACACTGACTGCAATTTTTATGACTTGGAACATGAATTTTAGGTGCCTAAGACTTGTGATACTTTGTGATAAATTACAACATTAAATATTTAATTTGAGGTTTCACATATGGAACCACCTCTGACTAACATCAACATGTCAAAATATTTGTTATATGAACCTGAATGCTGCTTTTGGAGTTCTTCAAGGTTTTGCTAACATAGAAAGTTGCACACATTTGTAATGTTAGACCAATTAAACTAAACCAGCTCAACTTTACTTGCCAGTATACTTTCCTGATTTAAACCTGGCTTGCATCACACAGAAGCTAAACTGGAAAAAGCCATGCTGAAATAAACAATCCATGTTGGAAGTTCATGCTTTCCATTACTAATTAAGGAACAAGAAAAGGCAGTGGTGACCTGTAACAAGAAATAAGAAGGGGAAGGGAAGGGAAGGGAAGGGAAGGGAAGGGAAGGGAAGGGAAGGGAAGGGAAGGGAAGGGAAGGGAAGGGAAGGGAAGGGAAGGGAAGGGAAGGGAAGGGAAGGGAAGGGAAGGGAAGGGAAGGGAAGGGAAGAAGGGAAGGGAAGGGAAGGGAAGGGAAGGGAAAGATACACCTAGGGGAGTGCAGTGTCTTGCATATTGAGGCCAGAACAGAGGACAGTTTCTTTGAAGCATATGTTTTTCTAATAAAGGAACAAAAGACTTACCAACAAGAACGACAATCTCTCCAGGCTGCTTAGCACAATGAGCTGCAGTAAGTATAAAATACTCATTCAGAATCGTTCCCCCACAAAGCAAGCTATCATCCTCATGTAGTAGAACAGCCTGCAAAGAAATGGGAAAAACTCCTGAAGTACAAAAAAAAGATAGATAAACATGAACCCTAACACCTGGCTCAGATGCAAGCAAGTTTCTTAGAGTAGAAATTTTCACATGTATTGTGTGTCAGAAACATCCTTAATTCAGAGTCAGGACGAGTTAAACTCAAGTGTTTAACTTCCACTYCCATTGCAGTGGGAAACCTATCAAGACAGACTCCTTTTTTGGCTCAAAATAAAGCTTATGCATTCAGATATTTTTTCTTCTAACTGCTTTTTGCTGTTGTTATTTTTAAAACAAAATCAGCTAATATTGTTAGAGCACTATTCTTGTTTGGTTTTTGTTGTTGTTGTTGTTGTTGTTGTTGTTGTTGTTGTTGTTGTTGTTGTTGTTGTTGTTGTTTTGCTTCTGTCTTGGTCTTAATAGGAACTCCAGCTATTCTTTTGATACTGCTATGTGGCAACCTGAATAGCTGAGTGCCTGGTAGGGACGGTTTCTTTTTGGGAAACATGGCCTTACATCTACTACCTGCTATTCCACTTTGATCCCAGCCTACCCTGTTCAACACTCGCTTGGTGATAAAGCAGAGCGTATCTTTATTGAACACAAGATATGTGTCTGTGTAGCAGAAATGCAGGACTCAAGAGAGGGGAATGATCACTCAAAAGGTTGACACCAGCTTACCCTGGCACACATACTCTTTCTCCCAGTACCATCCAGACTTTATGCCCCATCCTCTTTCTGCATTGGTGTCACTCTCAGCATGACTACAGTGGTGACCACATGCCCCAAAACACATTACGCTTCACAAATGCCCTGACAGTTTCCTTTATCAGGACAYAGGTGTCCCATCAGTCACCATGCTATGTATGAACACTGAGTCGAACCAGTTTTGAATTAGCTTCTGAGTCAAAGCAGGTTTGCTGTGCAGTGGTATCTCTTTTGTGCATAACTAAAACAACCAATTCCAGGGAACTTTGGTTTATTAGATAAATCCTTCTTGGAGGAGCCAGAAAACATCATTAAATCAAGCTAGGTCTTCATGGCAACAGGGACCAAAAAGTCTATATCTGCAACACTACTTTATGTGACCTTTTGCATSTATCAAATGCTTGCTCTGAGACAGGTCCACATTAGCACCCAGCCCAAGCAGGCAGTTGTGTTGATAGGGTATGARGAAGGTAGAGAGAGGTATATTCCGGTCAGTGAACGATGAAGAAGAAATGATTGTAGTTCTKGGTGAACAGGGCCAGGTATTTAACATCTTGGATTCTCTTGGATTCAGGGAAACTTACTTGCCATGGACACGCAGTAGGTAAATTGCCACCTTCCCCTATAGCCTCAGTGTGATTGCTCAAGGTCTCAGCACTTTCCTCATGCTCAGGATGAGCTTCTAGACTTGCCATGGTTCCTGTGATGTCTTCTGGGCTGGCTTCATGACTACTCTGAATTTTACCACAAGGGAACTTGACTGTRAAGGCAAGAGCAAAATGTTAATACTTGATGCCAGGGCAATATTGTACCTTTAAAACACCTATTCCTCTCCATAATCCTGAGCAAAGAGCTGTGGACATTTAACAGCTGTTACCAGGCTTTCACTTCAGCTCAGAATCGCTGGATGATGCCTGTGCTATTCCTCAGACAACAGGCCAAGGACCTTGCAAGTGGCAGCAATCTCCAGCAGAATGGAAGGGCAGAGAGCTGTTGCTGAAGCTGGTTTACAACAATACCCTGAGATTATCCATCATAGTCTGCCTGACAGAGTCCTAAGCATAACAGAGTTTCATCCTCAGAMAAGAAAATCTAACTTTTTTAGGTGCATCTTTTTTGAGCTGTGTTTCTTAATACAAGAAATACAGAAATCAAAAGTGGCCTTTTGATGTTTCCAGTGGTTACCAATTGTAGGGGGAAATGGTTTATATGGAAACAGATCATCTTCAAGAAAGCAACTCTTCATGAAAATGAGAGAAAACTCACTTAAGAGTTCAGTGGAAATTCCTGGATGGCAGCCTTTTGCAGTCTAATCAGTTGTATGAGTGTCCTTATCAGGATAATTTCTGCAAGCATTTTAAAGACAGTAACAACATCTTGGCAGATACAAGAGAGGAGGACCAGAATAGTTAAAAAATGACAATATCATTTTAGCTATAAAATTTGCCTGTGGGTTGAGTTGAAGACAAAGTTTTCTAAGTATTTAAAAATTAAGCATCTTCCATTATTAGCATTGTTATTTTCATGTATATGCTATTAGTAAAAACTTTGTAATTGAGAAATTGAATAAAATATTCTGTGTTAGGAAGTATAGGATACATGTCAACATTTCGTTATTGTTTACAAAGGACATTACAAGAAATAACAACAGGCTGACAGAATAACAGATTAAAATTAATATTTTTGAGGTACACTTTCTCTTAATGCAGGTAAAAATTGCTAAGGTGTAAATTTAATATCTATACTCTTTCTCTTATTATGTTACTATATGTTATCAGTAGAGAAGTAGCTTCTAAAAGAAAGTGGAAAAGTAGGTTTCATTCTTTTAAAATGGACAGGTTATATTTGAAGGAAAACAAGTGGTATATAAATACGAACAAATTACATCAGCAGCTCTGAAATTTTAAAAAGTCCTTCTGGACTGTATCTTGGAATGGGTGAAGTTTCTTGATCTCTGAGTGTTAAGCACATTATGGAGATTTTGAATGCAAACCAGTTTTCACCAGTGAGAAACCCAACCCATTTCTTTCTAACAAAATCTGTTGATAGATGAAAGGCCTGCTTCAAACTACCAGAGAAGGGAAATCTCAGCCCACTTGTTTATAATGTGGCAAGCCATTAGTTTATAATGTGGCTTCATAATGGATAGAACTTGAGTTCTGCTGTTGGCTCTGAAAACATATTGATTTGCAGAGTACATTTTTGTGTGCTAATTTTGCCACTGCACATTGCTCTCGGTTGCTCAATTTGACATTGCTGAAATTATGACCTTTAGTTAAGACCTTCTTCTCTTTCTTGATAACATTTCAAGCAAACAATGCGAAAGGTCTGAATAGTTAGTTTTATTCCTTATGCAGTGACATCACTTTTGGGAATGACCAGCATTCCCAAATATAGTGAAGATCTTTCCCATAAAAGGAGCTTCAAATGTGGCTTCATACCTACCTACAGGAACACAGGTTTTGTTGTCACTGCCCAGAGCATAGCCATAAGCACAGGAACATACCACTCCATCATGGTCAGCTTTGCAGAATTGTTCACAGTTGCCGTTGTTGATCTTGCATGCATTTGGTATGGCTGCAAAGGAGACAAATTTAYAGGCAAGTTACAAAATATTGCTGGCTTCATAAAAGCACAAGCATCTCATAAAACTTAGCTTGCAAGCTTTGGTCAAAAACCCCATCTCTGTAAAATTCTCCACAATTCCTGTCCAAAGCCTTAATAAGAAGAATAATCTTATTAATCTTTTTTCACAAGAACATGATTGTTATCTGCTACAATATCATATGAAACTGTTGAAAGTCTTGCTGACTACAGAGATCTGACATCGACTGCATCTTTTGCAGTCTCTCAACCTTTTATACGGTCTTTACAAGCAAAACTTAGAGGGTTTGATATGATTTGTTCCCTTCTAGCCCAACTCAGCAGGTTCTTTTCTCCTTGTTGTGCCACACAAACTAATTAGTGATGAAAGATTTTATCTCCAATTGGGAACAGACTAACATTGTTCTTGGTACCTCTTCCAATATCCTTATTCTTAAATTAGAGCTTGACTTTCATATCTTCTTTTATGCCTTAGCCTTACTTTTATTATGCCTGCATGCTCTCTATTTCATACTCCTCTGTAATTTGATCCAATTTTATTTTTTCTATACTTCCTTCCGAAAGCCAGACTGTGAAGATACTCATGATTTTAACCAGAGTGACTTCTTCATATAATTCCTTCTCTTATTCCTCAGTACTGGAATAGCTTGGACATGCAACCTAAACCCTATAGTATTTTTTGTTTAGAAATAGCCGAAATCTTCTGGACTTCCTTAAACTTCTTTCCTCTGGAATCATAACTGTATTTTTTTTTCTTTTGAAAGTACTCTCTTGTTTATTCTCTTATTCTTTTATTCTCTTGTTATTTTTATTTACTTCCTCCATGAACTTCGTCATTTTATAGTCTTTCTTATTAAAGCAACCTTCCGTCTTTATATCCACAATCAATCCCAACCTGTTAGTTAGAGTCAAAGCCACTTCAGGTTGCTTTCCTACAACTTTGTATCAAAAAGAAAATGTTCTTCAAAGATCCTGAGAACCTTCAGGGTAGCCCGGGTCCTGCTAGTTATTTCCCATCTAATCTTTGGGAAGTGAAATTTTCCCTCTTATTATGAACTCTTGTCACTTGAACGATTTAGCTGTTCAGCTGTGTCCTACCATTCCTCTGTCATCTCTGAATGACTCCTATAGCAAAATACATAGCAAAAAGAACAATGCATACATCATGTTTGCCTTGTGATTCCATACAATATTCTGTAGAGCAGCATTTAAGCCTCTACCTCCAAAGCACAGGTGAGACACTTTCTTGAGAGGGGGCATCTCATTTGCTTTGAGACTTACACAAACACATTGGGCAATGAAGTAGAATTCTAGTTCCTCTCTACACTATTAAATGCCCTAGGGTTCTTTTGCAACCCAGTAGCTGATGAACTGACRTTGACAGTAGGGATTATTTAGTTAAACGCCCCTCTCGAGTACATGAAGAATGGCATGTCATTAGTGCTGTCGGTTTGACAGTACTCTGTATTGACATATGAAACCAGTGTTTTACGCTGGCAGAATTGGTCTAGTTCTGTGTTATTCCCCTAGTGACTCAGGTAAGGATACCAGAGCAGGCGAACAAGAGCAGTGTGAGTGAAAAAGAAAAGCTACTAGTTTTCAGTGACCTCACCCTGCCCCACAAAGCGCAAATAATTGCAAATAATTGCAAATAATTGCAAATAATTGCAAATAATTGCAAATAATTACCTGTGGGGTTTAGACAGAGCTGCACAAAGCCAAGTTAAAGCAAAGATTGTACCTGTCTGCTCCGTCTGAAGGAAAAGAAGGACACTGAGAAGAAGCCACACCATCCCACAGTGACTTGCCATTGCCATCCTCTGAGCTCATTGAGMGAGTCTCACCTTTTTCTCTACATGGCTCTGGGGCAGCTGCAAAACGACAAACATTACAGTACAAAGGTCAGTAGTTTATGAGAAAATACAACTTCTAAGAGCAAAATCCACATTTAATGACAGTGTAGGACAATGTTAAAAAAAGAAAGGCCACCATGTTACAGCAGTGCCACCCTCATGGCTTGCAGGTGCCTTAATTCTGAGCAAAGCCCCTAAGGACTGGGAATACAGTCTATGGCTCTTGGCCATGTCCCAAGGAGACCAAAGCTACTTTTGTGCCTGATGCAAGTTGGACAGAAGGAGAAAAGAGGTTTAGATGTGAAAACTAGCTCAGGGCACCTCATTTGCTGTAATCGGTGTGTATACTGCAGGCAGACTGCCTTCCAACCCTGGTAGTGCCTTAGGGAGCAAGTAAAGTGCAGAGCTCATCAGAAGAAGAAAAAAAAGAGACAACTTTTTTTTTTTTTTTTTTTTTTTTTTTTCTGTATTAATGCCAGCAGGTATCACATAGGATTTTGGTGCCATTTATTCTACAGAACTGTGAACTGAGACTGAAGTGTTTAACTAAAGTTCATTGAAATGTTCTTGTGTAAAGCGCTGACTTTGACTTCAGTGTCTTTGACTTCAAGTCTTTGATTTGATGATCAGGTGTCCTGTATAGGCCTCTGGAAATAGCCACTCCTGTCTTTGTCCCATGCACCAGGGCAGCCAGTACCTCTGTAAATGCATGCTTTTTTTTTTTTTTTTTTCCCACCTTATTTTGGTTGGCTCTTTCTTACTGTGTGTCTTTGGTTGACCTGTGTTCTTACTGAATACAGTAGTTCATGGGCATTGCTGTGCTTTGAGGTCCTGTGTGCAGGAGACAATTCTGTCAGCTGAGCTCTGTGAGCAAGGGAGAGGTAAAGAGGGAGAAAACCTTGCTCGGTTTTGCTGCCTAGCATAGTCACATAGCGGGACTTCGCAGGCCCCCCAAAAAAGATCTATTCAGAGGACTTTCCTATCACAACATTAGTTTTTTTCCCTGAGATCTCCTCTGAATCTTCCTATAGCTGAGGTGAGCATTAGGTGAGCCTAGTGCCTCATGAGCTAGAATCTCTTGTCCAGATATATTACACTGAGCTAGGTTTGAGTAATGTCATGACTTTTTATTCTTCATACTAGTCCTTTCTTAATCCTTAAGTTGGTACCTCTTTTTGCTTAACACCTTCTCTTTCTTCTGCAGCTCAAAGCTTCTCCTTCCACAGCTCTCAGTTGCTGTCAGCTCTTGCCCACTCTTGAGATAAATGACACTTCCTTTCCAAGGACAGTCATGCTGCACACTCAGATGACACTTGTCTCTCTTGCACACCCCCTGTTAAACCATCTCTGTACTTGCTTTCAAAGTGCTGCCTGGGTTGACAAGTACATATATGCATACCAGCTAATAAAAACCAGCAGCAGAMACCATTTTGAGATGGAAGCTCAACCAAGCCCTTGACTCCTTACACAGTCCAGTCTCTGTTTCACTTCAGTCCTCAAGAGATGTAGCTCTGAGGTAAAATAATGTACTTAGCACAAGTACATACAATTTGGGTAGCCTAAGCTTAAGCTTGTCCGTTTGAAAAAGGAGGTTTCACTCTAATGGAGGTGAATGTTGGATGGAGGATCAAAAGATAGAAATCAAAATCCAGTGGACATAAGTTGTCAGAGAACTAACACCACTGAATAAATATTTAGGTAATTCCACTGAGGGTTTACACAGGTGGAGACCATCAAACTGGGCTCATTGACCTGCAGTCTTCAAAGCATGAGTTAGTGCTGACTGCAGCAGTACCTTGTTGTTATGCAGAGTTGCATTTCTAGTCTTTCAGCCGTGGTTTGCTCAGAGCACCTTTTTTAAGGTACCAGTCAGTGCCTTTTCCAGCCCTCTGAGATAGAGAGCAGAAAACTGGCTAGGTTCAGTTTACCTCGGGCAATAGGGGAGCATATTGAACTGGAGGAAGCTTGGAAAGGCCACCAAGGTGGTTAGGGACACATGGCATAGAAGTAGCTGAGGGAATGGGGGTTTGTTCAGCCAAAGAGAGCTGAAGGATCTAATTGCTGTCTTCTATTACCTAAATGGGGATTATGGTGATGACAGAGTCAAGTACTTTCTCTGAGGTGCACAGCAGAACAACAAGAGGCAGAAGTCAAAAGCTGTGACAAGGAAAATTCCAATTGGATATAAGAAAGATTTTAACTGTGAGGGTGCTAAAGGATGTGAACAGGTCACCCAAAGAGCACACAGAATCTCCGTCTCTCCAGAGATTTCCAAATCTTGAGTGGACCAGGCCCTGCACAACCTGATTTGAATTTGATGTCAGCCCTGTTTTCAGCAAGGGATTGCCCAGGTGAGTTCCATACTTGCCAGTAAGAACCCTTAGACCCCCTACATTCTCCACCTCCTTGTTAGTGTTGACACAATGCAGACAAAATATATCACAAGTACTTGTTAGAGTCATTGGATGTTTTTTTCACTCTTAAAAGAGATCTTGTCCTCAATTATTTCTAARCTGACTGAAGGAAAGGAAAAAAACAACAAAATACAAAGAAAGTGTTTTATTTCAAATTCTGATGTACATCAATATTGCACCTTTCAGGAACATGTAGAACAACTATACATGCAAGGAGCTCTCCGATCCTCAGCCATACACAGTGCAGAGCATGATGGAGAAAATAGTGGATATGCACATTTATTTTTCTGAAGAAGCAAAACAGAAGTGTTCAAAATAAAGTGAAATACAACTCATATAAAGGGAAACAGTATTTTAATTAGCAGTAGTGACGTTGGTGGGTATTTCTACAGAGCATATTTGGGAGATAGCATCATCTGTTGAATACTTACCTGAGGCTCAGCTTTTGCCATGGAAGAACCTTTTGCACAAAACCTTCTGTGCTCTCTTAATCTGCTCAGCACATCAGCAGCTAAGCTGAACAGTTCTAATAAGCACAGATTCTCTGTTGAACCAACTGGCTGCAATTTGAAGTTTTGAAAAATAAAATGAATAAGCAAACATAAGTTCCCAGCAAGCAGCCATTCTTAGGGAGAAAGCGCCTCCCTGTACAAACCCAAATCAACCCTGACAGTCCACATATACATGCTGGAAGCCAGGAATAAAGATAGAAGCAGCACCATAACTTTAAAGAAGTAGCTCTCAAACTTAAGTTTAGTAAATGTGCTAAAAAAGGATAATGTTTCTATTACAGATTGTACAACTGTACCTTGTTAGCCAACAGAAAGGATCAATAACTGCACCACTAAATCTTTTGTCTCAGGACCCATTTTACCCAGCGTAGGAACCTAGACAGTTTGGTATAGATACCATATTTGCCTTTCCTTGCGCAGCCTTCTCCCCAGCTAACAATTCCAGTAATAAAGTAAGTCTCCTTATATTTGGTTACATGGGGGCCTCCACTGTCTCCTTGACAAGCATCTTTTTGCTCCGTCTCGTATCCAGCACAGAACATGTTATCTGTTATGTCAAAGTTAGTGGATTGCTTGCAAGTGTTCCTATCCACGTAGGGGACTTGAAGCACTTTCAGTTTTTTRGATAGTCGTCCACCTTCAAACTCCCGTCCAAAGCCACTAACCATCCCAGCTTTTTGGCTCATCAGAACTTCATTAGCAAAGTCTGTTTCTGGAAGACACGCTGGGATAACATACTCAGAAAATTTTATAGGTTCCTTCAGCTTTATTATGGCTATGTCATTGTCGTAGGTTTCTGCAACGTATTTAGAGTGAACAAATATTTTGTCCACTGTATGCATTGTTTCAGAATGTTCTTCCTTTTCTCTGTCCACTTCACCTGCACAAGATCATTGAAAGGGTCATGCATATGAGGAAGGTRCAAGAAATTAAAAGCAATCTTGATTAAGAAACTAGTATCCCATTCCTTACACTTTGCCTAAGCCTTTATACCATGCAGTAAATTGTAGAAAAATTATCGCAACATTCATTAGCAGCACATGGAGACACTTCCAGTTTCAAGGTCTTCTAGTGAAATCATTGTGTGAGTTTAAGATAAACTCATTCAACTAGACTAAAGCAACTTGGATGGGAGATCTTGCAGAAGATGAGTATGGCTTACATCAGGGAAGGGAAGCTCAGGCACAGCTGAGGCGCAAAGTTGCACTGATCTATAATCATGCCTCAAAAGTGAAATAGTCATAATGTGAGCTCCTTGTTTCTTCCTCCAGTCAATGTGTCCTAGCTTTTCTCAGTGTCCCACAGAAACAAGTCTGTATGCTTGAGACAGGCCTGCAAAAATCATGAGCTTCCTAAAGAAGGGTTTCTGATCAACACAATGCTGAGCAATTTGTTGTGAAAATTTGTTCAAAATGTTCTAGAACATTTATTCTTAATCATTTCCACCTAGCTGACACCAAAAAAAGGATTCATCATTATCACCTTCTTAATCAGCTACTCCTCTCACTACAAAGCAGGATGCCTGCAATAATGGGAAATGATAACAAGTAAAACAAAACAAAAAACAACCACCACCTCACACAGGTTTCAGAGCACAGAGGATTTGTCCATAGCACAGGCTCACCATTTCAGCATGACAGGAGTAAAATAAATAACCACTTACCAACAACAACTGTAATTTCTTTAGATTGGTTCATGCAGTGAGCTGCAGTAAGGACAAAATCTTCATTCAGTATAGTTCCACCACAAAACTCTTCCCCTTCCTCATTTATGAGAACAGCCTGTGAGAGATAAAGTTAAATGCAGAACTAAGAGCATGTTAACTTCAAAGGGTTGTGAACAGCTAATTGYTCTCTCTGAATGTGTGCATTTCAGTGCAATATGTGCTAGTGTGCAGGCCTCTCTGCRATGGTCCTAGTACTGCATACACACCAGGGTATGTTACAGACAGCCTACAGGATCYCATTGGCCATATGGGATAAAGAGGTTTGGCTTTATGTACAGCCCCATGGTACCTATGTTTTAGGAAAAGATACCAACTGACTGAGAGGGGAAAGTGTTCTGCCTACATGCAGAGCACAAACACTTCATTTACCTGCCATGGACATTCACCGAGCAGACACTCGTCACCACCAACTATCCTRGTAATCACATCTGGACTCTGGTTACTCGTTTCATTCTGAGGCTGGACGGTTGGGCTTTCTGTGGTAGCAACAATGTCCTCTTCCAGAATTGTTGCATTTGTGGGAGAGGCAGCTTGAATGCTTGTTGCAGTGCTATTGCCAGCAGGTGAAATAACAGATCTTTTTTTTCTTTTCACAAAAACTTTTCCACAGGGAAACTTTACTGTAAAGACAAGAGCATTAAAATTAAAAAGGAAGGACAAAAACACACATACAAGAAGAAACTCCTTACCAACATCCTCTTGCAATAGAATCAGCTGCCCTCCTTTCAAGACACTAACAAAATGTTGGAGAGATGGGTTGAAAAATGAAAGTCATTTTCTAGCCCTGAAAGCTAGCCGTGGGTTTGGCTTCTGGCCAGGGTTTTCAAAGCTTTTAAAATTCAAAAAGCACTTTCAATTGTTTATATTGCTACATACCAGTAATATCGTTATATATGTTAAAAATCATTCATGAGAGCCATTTACTTATTTGTTATAAGGGATCTAGAAACAGATTATATCCATATATGGTTGGCTTATCCTGCTCATCCCACCACTTGCAGTCTGCTGAAATACAATGGAAATGGACATCCGATAGCATTAATCTTAATTACTTGATTAGGTTAACTGACATCAAAAACAGAAAATAAGTTCTTGAAACCTGCTACTTTAAATAGTAAGTAACAAATTTGTTTAAGGAACAAATAGCTATCCTCATTTTCATCCAGACAGCAGCCCTTTTGTTCCCCTTCACATAATTTCTGTGAAAGGTACCTTGTAAAAAGTTACCAGTGAGATAGATCTGTTGCCCATCACTTCACCCCAGGCACAGAAGGCTATTAAAACACAAATCATSTAGTCTTAGTGCTAAATCAATGTCACTATGTCTGTGTTTCAAAAGACTTCTTTAACTGTGAAAAAGGTCCCAGCACTATTGCTATTAGTTCATCATGTGTCTTCGTACCTGATGCAACACAGCCTTTGCCATCTTCTGCTAGAACATACCCTTTAGCACAGGAACACACAACATCCTTCTGTGCACTCTTTTTGATGCTACAGAACTGCTCACAGTCACCATTGCTTATCTTGCAGTACTTGGGTATGACTATAAAAGAGACATGTTTGGAGAAAATAAAAAGTTATTGAAGTTCACCAATCATTGGCACCAGTCATTGCTGACTGCCATTCTATTCCATGCAATTTTCCAAGMGACAGACACTGCTCCTTAAAGATAGTGCTGACATCTTATGCTTCAGCTCCCTGTTCAAGTCTCTGTCACAGTTTTCTAAAGGAGAAACCTACCAAATTCACAGTTTCTGCCTTGATAACCATCCAAGCATGAGCAAGTGTAGGAACCAATTCCATCTTTACAGTGTCCACCGTAGTGACAAGGGTTTGAGCTGCACTGATCTCCATCTACAAGACATCAAAAGAATAAACTGTTTTAAGAGCGTAAAACTGTCAGTGAACTCTGAAGGGGCTGAATTTTATCAAGGAAGCTTTAATACGATTTTTGTAACGTTTCTCCCATGAGTTGCCACATTCCAGACAGCAAAGAGGAGGGTCAGTATTTCAAAGCGGTGTGAGTCACATACATGACCCAAGTGGTGCAGTCATACTTGCTGTATGAGCTGGGCCTTTTGTGTAGAAAGATAAAGCAATAGTGCAATAGTGCATCACTGTGCATCATTTACAGTGAAGGCTGTAAGAGCAGGCTGGCCATTTCCATGTTGCAGATACTCTCCAAGATGATTTGACTTTTGACCTCCTAAGCTCTGAAACTGCTTATCCTAAGAATCCAGCCTGAAGCCTCCAGGTATATTCCTGGTATATTCCAGGAGGCCTGTATATTCCGCAAGAGAGGAGTTAAAGACCTTCCCTCTGTTGTTCCTCAACAGAGGGAAGGTGAGATCACCATTTATGGAGGAAAGGCAGACTTGAAACCTACTGAATAGTTCCTGTTTTCTGCCTAATCAGTTGTGCCGCTGTAGCTGTTTTTAACTAAGCAATATCTTACTGTTAAAACCATGCCTGTTCAATCTTTCCCTAGACACCATAAGTGTTGCTGTGGACCTGAGCTTTATAGCAATATTTCACAAAAACATTGCAGAATCCCATACTAAAAAAAGGAAATTCAAATGAATTGTTCTAGCAACTTGGCTGAGGGAAACTGTGGTTTTCAATATTTCTGAACACCAAAAAAGAAAAAAAAAAAAGAAGAATTCATGGCCTGTGGTTTACAATGTATGAAATGGGCATTTCTGCTAAGAGCACTGGCACTAATGTTCTGCTGCCTGTATTCTCATGAGAAAATGGGCTGAATTTTTCCGCTCATGTTAACTGCTGTTCCCGCAGTACTGACGCAAGCCTTGGTTGCAATCTCAGCCTGTGGGCTTCAGAGTTTGTCTCCCCCTTAGATGATTGTGAAAGTTCTGAGTCTTCATCACAGCAACTATATCAGTTCTCTGTRGACTCCAAGAGACAAAGCTGAGCAGTCTTACTTGGGTCAAAATATTTGAGGTACTCTTCATAGCATGCATGCTGGACACATAATTTCAGGAAAACACATTACTAAACAGTAACACATTAAAAAACCAGCAACTTTCAGAAAAGAAAAAAAATATTGATTAGTATTTACTAATCTGCTGGGTTTTCTTCCTTGAATACTACATAGTTCTGTAGAAACACATGCTGCAAAATACTAACCTTTGCAGGACTCAACTACACTGTAGCATGAAGGATGATGGAAAGCGGCAAGGCAGACTGAGCAACATAGTTAATGCCTTAGCCAAGGCCAAAAATTAAAATGACGCTCTCATCTATGACACTTTGTGTCTTTATATATTTCTGAATAGGTGCCTGTGAAGGACAGTTAACTGGCAGAGTCACATTCCCAGCTTCTCACTGTCCTTTGCGTGCAAAGAGCCACTATTCTTCTCTGAGAGGAAAAGATCTCAAGCATTGGAGGCAGCTGAACCTTGCCTTAGAAAGAAGTGACAGGGTTCAAGCAACAKCAAGGCAGTAAATCAGTCAGATTCCCTTTTCAGAGGAAACTCAGCATGTCCACAGTGAAAAGAGAGGAAACAAGAGGGCAGGAAGTGGTTACGTAAGAAGTGTGTCCTTTTTAGCCATGCAAAAAGAAGAAGCTTAATTTTCTAAACAAATGCAGAGTGTTTCTTACCTACATAGACATTCCAGAATTCCTCCTACAGGTAGGTGTGGGAAAAGGGAAATAGGAGGAGACAAACAAGAATTAGATGGAAATCAGTGATTTCAAATCTTTAGAAAAATGTCAGAGCTTTCATACAGACCATGCGTGCAACCAATAATTGTTAAAACAGAATATTTGTTACAGGCAAATATAGGGCCTTGCAGCCTGACACTGCTAGTTAATAAATTAAAACAATATGACCCATTTATATTTCTCAGTCCTAGAGAAACRAGTCTCACGCACTTCTGAAAAATGCTTAAACTCATTAGAGATTTCTTAATGATGTGACTCATTTAACATAAGGCACTCTTTTTCTTGCATAACTTATCTTCATATTCATTTGACTGGATTTATTTATACTCCTGCAATACCAAATTCTCAGTGTACTTCCCCTTTAGCCCCTCAGGACCTCAGAAATCTCAGCATTTAAAAATATGGTGTCTCTTTTCTCCCTTCCCTCTTGCACTGCAGATTCCAGGTATGCTGCCTGTCCAAGTCTGTCTTTTTCATGATACTCGGTCTCCAGGTAGAACAGGCTGTGCTGGTTTTGTTATAGGTCAACCAACCCTTATGCTTTAATGTATCCTTATGATGCATCCATAACTCCCCCACCCAGGTCATTTCAGGCACACTCCAAGAACATTCCGGACAGCAAATATTACGGAAGTGAAATAAATCTGGCTTTAATACCAGTTTCAGGGCTGTTCTTAACAGCCACGTAGCTACAGCCTGATTCTCCTTTACCCACAGTCACTTCAAGTTCTTCTTCAAGTAACATTTATTATCTTTTCTATTGACCTTGTCTCCTGGACTTGTCTCATCTCTTTAATCTCTCTTTAGCTTTGGAATAGATCTCCCTCCTGTCTAAAACTAACTAGCCTCTAGAATAGGGAAGGTGATACAGGAATTGCAGTGTAATTCTTTGTGGGCAGTTTAATATTCAGACATACTCTTCACAGTACATATCCTGTCCATTTAAATGCTGGAAAGAGAGATACAAGTTGCTAAACACTACAAAGCTCCTTCAGATGAGTAGGCAAGGTTTTTGCATGAGGACTACCATAGGTTCTATGYCAGTATTTGCATTCTCAGTCTTCCTATGGTCTCTTCATCTAAGAATCCTTGAACACTCAGCTATGCCATGCAGATGGCAGCGTGACAGTATTTCTAACATAGCTAATATCAAAATATTTAGAGGTTGAATACTTCACAGTGATGATTAAACAGATTAGACGAGGTAAAAGAATGGAGGCTTTAATATGGACTAGCCTTACAAGTGCTAAATTAAGACCGTTTTCCAGTTTTCATATTTATGCTGTAGCAATTCCAGCCAAATCCAAAAATGTTCTCTATTTTTCTTTTATGTTAAGTGACCAAGAGCATTTTGTTAGTTTTGATTCCCAGCTCAAAAGATCTTAATGCTGTATGGTAAACATGAAATATGCAGGCCTATTTCTTTTGTATTAGTTCATCCTTACAGTTTTCTCTTGGTTTTCAAAGGCTTCTCTCGCTTCTTCTTTCGAGCAACGCTCCTCATTGCATTCTCTTTCAATATTCCCTTTCTTCAGTTCCTCCAGAAAAGAGTTAGCACGTTTTGTTCTTTCCAAGAACTTATCTGCATTTTCTTTCTTGATAAATACTATACAGTGGGAAAAAGAAGAACAGAGGTGCCAGGTAGCACTTGTTATTGGTGAACAGCCATTCAGAAATAACTGAAGTGAAAACAAAACAAAATAGAATCTCTATCCACTATGTMCTTAGGCTAAATGACCTGTGAAGTCAGTTACCACAGACAAGTACATCCCAAGATCTCTCAGATCAGTTTCTTCCTGGGAATCAGTGGGTCTAGGACAGATTAGAGGGTCACCAGAATGCCATCCTACTGCTTTTAGTCTTGAAAATAAGAACATACATATTGACACTAAGGGATTATACTGCAGTTGCTCCTGCTCAGGACTCCAGTCATGAACAGAGTGACTTTCCTTGCCACTCCGAAGGCTGGGTACACCACATCATTGCTTGATTTGTTTTCAAGGCTAACACCCCTGTTTGCTCTGGCTGCTTGTGCACCAGAAACTAAACACCACGCAGATGCGAGGTGCAGTAACACATCACTATGGGGTTCAGCTGATAGATGGGAAAAGTTGTTTCACTGTCCAGCCTTCAGAGAAGAAACAGAAAATCTGCAAGTTCTGTTGCCTTTCACCACCCCRAACTCAGGTCAATAACTGCTGCATGAGCAATACTGCTACTTTCCAGTAACCTGTACACAAATTGCCACTTAGGAAGAACTGAACATTGGAATAAATCAATTGCCATTTTTACTAGCTTACAAAAAGCAGATATTCTAAGAACTTTTGCAGAGTCTGAAAGCTGGCATTATTAAGCAATACTGTAGAGTCTACATAGGCTGAAAAGGCTGCTTGCAAGGAGGGCTCACAGAAAGTGCTCCTAAGTTTCAGTTCAGCAACTGTTACTTCACTATCTTATTTGTCCTTAAATCTCCTTCTGCAGTTATGGGAAAGTGACAGGCCACAGCTGGAGGGGTTATTGCYCCTATACTCTTTGCTACAAGCAGCACTAGAAAATGTTTTTATAAATTTGAAYTAGCCAGTCAGCCTTCTGAGACTGATCTTTTTTCCCCTAAATCTTCTGTCACGCTTGCGTCTTCAGCGCCATGAAGTCTGTCAGCTCCAGCAGGCCGCTCCACAGGCTYGCCAAGACCCTTATTTTAAAACTAGGCTGATTCACTGAAGGAAGAGCTGATGACTTTCGGAAAAGTCACTTGCTGCTCTTGTCTGTTCTGACCTTTGATGTTGACCCGAGTAACACAAACAGCAGAGCACAGAGCGCGCTAACCCTCTCCGCGCCACAGCCCCGAACCCTCACCATGTAAGCAAATCCCGCGGAACCAAAGACAGTCTGTCCACTTCCGGGTCCCAGGACAGTCCCACTACTYCCCAAGTATTGAAGTACAGCACATTTTGAAGGCTGTCCTCCCAGCACTTGCAATGGGAGGAATGGAAATATGGAAGTGAATGTCAACTGGGAACAGGCCACTCTGGAYCAGAGTGGGAGGTTGCACCATGGGGACTCTCCAAAGTTGGGCTCAAGCCCGGAAGCCCCCCTGGGACTTCCCAGGGAGCCCTCCCTCACACAGGCAAAGCCTGCTGGTGTTTCAGCACAGTAGAGAGGGGCAGTGCAAGTGCCAACAACCCTCCTGCCATTTTGGAGTGCAAGCTGCAGCGGGGAGGAAGGGAGGAGGAAGGAAGGGAGAAGGAAAGGAGGAAGGGAGGAAAGGAGGAAGGAAGAGAGGGAGGGCGGAAGGAAGGAAGGAAGGAAGGAAGGAAGGAAGGAAGGAAGGAAGGAAGGAAGGAAGGAAGGAAGGAAGGAAGGAAGGAAGGAAGAAGAGCGGGAGGGAGGGAACCCCTTCCCCACCCCCCCCAATCATCCTGCTCCCAGGAGGTTGGATCTCCTGTTCCAATGGTTCCCCCAATGGCTGTGGTACCCCCAGCCCCAATCCCCAGCAGCAATCGTCCCAGGAGGAGACGAGGACAGGATGGACATCATGAAGAGCCGAGCCCCGCTCTCCCCCTGCAGCCCCCCTTACCGCTTCCCTCGGCGCGGAGGATGAGGGCTGCGAGCGCCGCGCAGAGCAGCAGCGGCAGCAGGCGGCCCGCCATGGTGCCCACCCGTGCCTCGACCACGGCCGGGTGGGATGGCCCGGGCAGAGCACAGGAGCCGACGGGCCCGCACACACACGCACAGCCCCGCGCCAGCGGCAGCGACTAAAGTTGTGTTGCTTCACCCTGCCCAGAAATAGCGGAAGCGCCTGGACGGGGGGAAGCCGCCGGCAGGATCGCTCTGCAAGGGGGCTGACGTGATAGCGTTTCTTCTTTTTTTTTTTTAATGCGGGAGGGAAGTCTGCTTTCTTAACTGCACTTTTTGGGCGCAGCGCTGGATCGTGCCCTTGGCAAGCAGGCAGCCGTGGCTGAGGCTTGGCACRACCCGAGCCTGGGCTGGAGGGGGCAAACAAACCTGAGCTCCCAACCGGGGCGGACACTGACCCACCTCCAAAACAACCACTGCCCTCRGCAGCCCCCTCTCGCTTTCCCAATGTTCCCGTCCCACACCGTGACCTGTTGACTTAGTGCTTTATATTTCCCGGCTCCAGCGTGCTCAGTCTCATGAGCCATCCCCAATGGTCCCATGACCACCTCACTGCTTGTGCCTCATGGTAGGAAGGGACTCCCGCCTGTCAAACCAGGCTTAGGGCAGCTTGCCTCCATCTTCCCTGTCATGCTGTTTGTTTCTTTATTACTTTATGAATAACTAGAATCTGTGGGGGATGTTTTCATAGACCCAGACTGCTTATTTCTCAAGYCTTTGGAATTTGCTGCCTGCTCTAATTCAGTTAAGTGCTTAATAGGAATAATAGACTGCTTCTTCTAYGTTGGTAATGCAGATTAAAGAATGCACAGTTTTTGTCTTGCATATATACCGTGTAATGACAATGTTTTTTTCCCTAATAATAGAGTACAGCCAATCTTAATTTTCCTACTTGCTGGCAAGCTTTTGTGATTGAGCTCACATTCAGCATGATTTGAATGATTCCAGAGCATACGCTTTCATTAGATTATTTTCTAATCTCATCAGCGATTTTATCTGCCATCGTCTCCTTCACTTCTTGGCAGTTTTTACGCTTACAATGGGAAATATAACTTTTAATGGTGTAGTCTGCTGTCWTTCGGAGTTGCTCAAGTAATACCATTTGTACACTAAGGCTACAGAGAATAATGTGTGGCCTGTATTTTGCCCATGGTCAGACAAATATCCTCTTCTCCCTCCAGACACCAGAACAGAGGGCACAATTTRAGTGTTAGATTGAATGAAAAAATAAACATTCTGTTTCCATTTGTTCTTCTTCTGTATTAAGTAAGACAATACTGAGGCAAAGGAAAGCTAAATCAGTGATATTCYTCACCATAYACAAATTTAGGGTGCCTTTAACTAAAGTTAGTAGTCACTAACTTTATTGCAATAATATTTGATGCAGGAAAACTGTAATGAAGCTTTCAGAGCACATCTGTAAAAGTGAAATTAACTTTTTCCCTGCTTTTATGTGTTGGAGAGTCTCTACAGTTTCAAATTTGCCTGTTGTCACTGCAATTGAGGCTACTTCAGCATAAGATAAAGCAATTCTTTTCTATTTTCTTCCCTATTATGTAATTTTGTTACAGAACCTATTGTCTTAAGAAAATGTGAAAAACAGAAGTATAGAAGGGGGTTAAAAGAAATTTCACATGTTTGCAGAGAATAGGTTCGTCATGACTATTCAACATAACRCAACTTATTGCTCAGGAAATCCTTACATCACTGATTACCAGAAAGGAAGATCATGATGTGCCTGATATGTTACTAGGAGTCTTTCTCAGTGGTTAGCTCTATCTGTTATCAGAAAATAGACACAAAATGAAAGAGACTCTTGAGTCTTTTTCAGTATGGTTATTCTGTGCACCATTTGCATACATACAAATTTACAAACAATAGCAATATAGAAGTTATTTAATATATTCAGATAGACATTAGGCTAGTGCTGAATGATTTTTAGTKGTATGGGTATTGTATAACCACATCCATGTACAGGGAATGCCTTCATGGGAAAATGTTACAGGTTGGATCAAGGRGCAATAACACTATCAAGAAATACTCTGAATCAATATCATTAATCCATGTGGTTCTTTAACCAGTCAATGTATTTGGATACCCTTGTATAAACCCCATAGTTGCCTTTAGTAGCACAGCCCTTCCCCCAGCTGACAATCCCAGTTAGAAACCAAGTGTCCTTGTACTTTGTGGCATGAGGTCCACCACTGTCACCCTTGCAAGAGTCTTTAGTGCCGCTCAGATCTCCTGCACAGAACATATTTTCAGTAATATTTAAAGTAGTCTCCTTTTCACATTCTTGTGTCTTCACACGTGGCAAGTCAACTCTCATCAGAAAAGAGGATGTAGCACCTCTGTCCAGCAGGCGACCCCATCCGCTCACTGTGGAGAATTTGATGGAGGACAGCTCATACACTGCAAACTGTTTCTCAGGCAAACATATTGGTACCACATAATCGGTGAGGTTCACAGGTGTTTCCAGTCTCAGCAGGGCAATATCATTATTAACTTGCCCGTTCTTGTATTCTTCGTGAATGATCATCCTGGTTATTCCACTTTCTTGTTCAGTTTTCTCATCATAATGTAGAGCATGTTCACCTGGAAAATGATTAATCCTAGATAATGTCAGTCACATCCTTGATTCCTCAGATGTTTTGGAAACAGGAGGTTTCTAGTCTCACATTTCTAGAGGACACTTATCTACTATCRAAGTCTGTAGTCTTTCTTTTAATCTGGCTGCACTTCTTTCTTTTCCTCTGGTTTGTCCGTCTTGTTACACAGAGTTACAGTATGGTTGAGGTTGGAATGGATTTCTAGAGATCATCTAGTCCAACACCCCTGCTCAAGCAGGGAAACAGTGCACTTTGCCCAGGATCCTGCCAGCTGGCTTTTAAATATCACGAAGGCAGGACACCACCATCTACCTGGGCAATCTCTTCCTGTGCTGTTGCCCTTACAGTAAAGAAGTTTTTCCTCATTCTCAGATGTAATTTCCTGTGTTTCAGTTTGTCTTTGTTGTCTCTCATCCTATTGCTGGCCACCAATGAGAAGAGTCTGGATCCATCCTCTTGACACCCACCCTTAGGATACTTATACACATTTTTAAGATTCCCCATTCAGTCTTCCTCAGGCTGAAGAGGTCCAACTCTCTCAGCCTTTCCTTACAGGACAGATGCTCCAATCCCTTCATCATCTTAGCGTACCATTGCTGGACTCACTCCTTGTCTCTTTTGTACTGGGGAGCCCACAACTGGACACATGCTCCAGATGCAGCCTCACCAAGGCTGAGAAAGGGGGAAGGAGGATCACCCTCTGACCTACTGGCACTGCTCTTCCTAATGCACCCCAGGATATCATTGGCCTTCTTGGTCTCAAGGACACATTGCTTGCTCATGGTTATCTTGTTGTCCACCAGGCTTGCCAGGTCTTTCTCTGCAGAGCTGCTCTCCAGCAGATCGGCCCCCAGCCTGTACTGGTACCTGGGGTTACTCCTCCCTATGGGCAGGACCCTGCACTTGCCTTTGTTGAAATTCAGGAGGTTCCTCTCTGCCCAGCTCTCCAGCCTCAATCACAGTAGGAATAACTGGGGTAAAATGGTAGCAACCCATCAGTAATCAAACATGAATACTAAAGTGGAAGCTTGAAATTACGAGGGAAGATACATACCCAGCCTCACCCGAATCTCATTCTCATGAATGTAGTCCAAACAGTGAGCTGCAGTGACCACCCACTCAGGTGAAAGTAGAGTACCTCCACACTTCTCTTGCTKATTATGTGTTATAAGGGCCTGACAACACAAAACAAAGTGACATATTACTCGAAGGCGCTTGTCTTGAATCTCAGTAGTGTCAGGTTTTATGTTGCTTATTTCTGTCGTTTTATGCAACTATGTTTRAAATACTGAGCAGATTGTATAGAAAACTTAGGAGTGGGGAGACTTCTCATTGAGATTTTTTTACAGTATGGGCACTTCTTATTATGGCCAAAGGTATAGCCCTGAAAGCTTCAAATAAAATTCTTACTGATAGCAATATTAAGGATTAAGGGAAGATACAGGAGGCTGAATTATTACCCCACTCCTATGTAAGCAGACACTCCAGAAAAAGGCTAAGATGCATGGTTGGAATAAATGGGTCTGCTAGCTACAGGTGAAGAGGAAATTTGGCTGTCCAGAAATTGCGCTTTTTACAGGTTTTAAAATAATCAGTTTAAAGTAAGGAATTTGACATGTTGCAGAAGAAAGAAAATGCAATAAAGGATCTTGAAGACTCACTTGCCATGGACATTCACCTGGAGGACAGATGAAACCACCTACTATTCTCCCTTCTCCAGTTGCATTTTTTTTTGCCAACACTGGTATTTTTCCACATGGGTATTTCACTGAAAAATATATAAACAACTACAATTTTATTGAAAGGAATTACAATAAATTTGCCCTGGCACTGGCCGCCACTGAGAAGAATTTGGCCCCATCTTCTTTACATTCTTCCCTCAGGTATTTGTACATATTGATCAGATCCCCTCTCAATTGTGTCTTCCCCAGACTAAACAGGCCCAGTTCTCTTAGTCTTTCCTCATACAATAGATTATTATTATACAATAGATTATTAATATCATGGACATACAAGGCACTTGCAATTAACACATCTTTTTAAAGTATAAGTCAACACTGAGGAAAACAGCAAGCTTGAGAGGTGATTCTATCAAACCTTGTAGTCTACATGTTTTCAATGACCCTCATGCTTTAATTCAGTGGTGCTTAGTGCACAGTACCCCTGCTGGCACGAAAGGCAGGCTTGAGTGTGAGACACTCAGCTTGCTATCCCTTGTTTGGATGCACTGAAAATCTCCTGAGAATAGACATTGTGTCTTCTGGTATGTCTCCTGGCAGACTGCAACTCTACTGCTTGGGTCCAGCCCATCCTCGATTCTTCCAGATTGCTTATCTCAGTCTAAGGCCCTATCTCAGCTTAAGCAAGCGAGGAACTGCATGGACATGTGACAGTAAGTGATATAAGTCTTAGGGATCAAATCTGTACCTGCGTTACAGTGCAGAGGAAACTTTGGTGTTTTCAGTATAACATTAATCCCACAGAAGTTTCCTTTAACTCCGAGGATCTGCCTTTGGCTTCTGCGTGCCATTGGGGGGCTTCTGCGTGCCTGTAATAATCCCCAAGTGCCCTTTACTTGAGCTGATGCAAAGAAAGCATCAAGCTTTTGCAGGTCCTGACAGGGTATAGA